GGGGTCTGACTGCCGGCGGCGCGATGCCGTTGGCGCCAAGACCTCTTTGCTGGAGTCAGGCTTTTTCCAAGTCATGTGCACACAAGCGCCACTGAGCAGCACGCACCGAGGGGTCGATACCTGAACGAGAAATTGACCAGATCCGCTCCGAGACGGTGCGCAGCGACAAATCGAGACGGCACGGGTAGATCCGTAGACTGTCCCAGTCTTCATAGACGTCAGAGTCTCAGCAGTACGCAGCAGCAGCAAAGACAGAGGACAGACGTACGAGACGGCTGTGTGACTGCCTTTTTCGACCGTTCGTGGATCTTGAGTGCCTCGAGCGAAACGTAATCGTGACGGGGAACTGGATTCGAGAAGAGGCAGGAATGACTGAAACGTCAATGCGGCCCAGGTCTTGATGCACGGACGACTGCCCCAGAGACGATCGTCGTCTGGGTGGCCGGCCCATCAGCTTCAATGTGAGACAACAACAAAGAGTTCGGAACGACAGACCGGAGAGCTCTAGGGATGAGACATGAACGGTCTCTTATCCTTTTCACCCGATACTCCATCTATGCACACCGTCGAAGGCGTCCGCAGCCCGCCGGGCATGCCCCCGCCAGCCAGTATCTCTTCCGTCCATCGTGGTGCACACCGCAATGGTGCCCAGATATCCGTTGCTTCTCACATGGACCGCGAAAGTCTCCCAAAAATTCCGGGTCGCCATCAGATGAGTGGCTTCAGACGCGCGGACGATGTACGTACCTTGCCTAATTGCGACGCGATCCAGCAGGTGACCTTCTTCTCGTCGGCGGCGGTCTCGACGCCGTACTCGACCGCCTCCTGCCCATCGATGGTCAACCACGCGTCAAAAGTATCAAAGTGGAGCATGCGTCACTATCGGCACTGCGGAGCGCAAACGGCGACGAGAAACAGTTTAGGAGAGAGGCGAAACGCGAAGTGTCACGGCTGTCACGCTGATCTGAGCCCGAGATGGGTGCCGTATCAATGGCGTTGGTGATTGGGATCGGTGAGTTCATCCTTGCCCCGTGCGCTCATCTCGGATGGATCCGTCGGGCCCTCTGGACTTCGGAAGTGTGCTCCTAGCGGAAGGGGCGAAGTGCCTGTACCAGGATCCAAGCGTAGGAGGCTCCAAGGCGCATGCGAGGAGTGTAGGAGACGCAAAGGTGGGACTTGTGTTGAGCGTTCAACATGTTTGCTGATTCGTCGCGTTAGTTCGATGTTAGCACAACATTTCTGTTGAAGGAGGAGATCTGATACGACTTGTCGAGCTCAGGCAACAGAATGACTATGCCCGGGCATGTTTGTTCGAACTGCATCTCGTTCAACATTTTGTGCGCAGATCCTTCGTCTGATAATGTCCTTTATCAGCATTGTCCCAATGCTTTTCTGCTGAACCTTTTTCCAGTCCTCGAAGAATAAGAACTCCAATCTACCCTCCATGTCACCACAGTCTCCACCAGTGAGTTGCCTTCGCCGGACACCGAGTCCTAACCTTCGACTTGCATCAGAGTTCCACCTCGACCAAAGCCTCTCCTTTCCCCAAGACGGCGGCAGATCACGTCGACGCCATCCTCACCCAATCTACCGCTTACATTCCCACTGACCAACTGCGCGCGATTCTTCTCGACGTGGCACGATACTGTCGTCAAGTGGAGGATAACTCACCGTGTGCGAGAAAGAACGGAGCGCAGTTCTGACGCAGCCAGCCGACTCCCAGACCGCGTCCAGCCCTGCTTCGGACACCAAGCCGAGCCGAGCGCCGTCGCCAGATCGGGTCATGCTTCTGACGGACTCGTTCCTGGGCATGTCGCTATTCAATCCGACGCGGACACGCTACTTCGGGCGGTCGAGTGTCACGTTCCTCGTGTCGAGGGCGGCGCAGATGAGGATGGCGCATGAGAGCGGGGGCTCGAAATCAGAGATGCGTCCGGTGCGGAGGCCGCAGTTCGTGCACAGTCCCGTGCGTGTTTTTTTCTTGGACATTCGAATAAATCAGCAGGTTGATTTTTTATATTCAGTGGGAGAGCACGTACCCAGAACCGCCTCCGGTGTATTCATTTCCTCCTGCCGACCTTCTGCATGACCTCGTCACGATCTTTTTCGAGAAACTCAACATCGTGTTCTTCTTGTTGCACCGACCGTCTTTCGAGCGCTCGGTTGCATCGGGACTGCATCTTCTCGACCACTCTTTCGGAGGGCTGCTTCTAGCTGTCATTGCCCTGGCTTCCAAGTGAGCTGCTTGCGCCGCTGAGAGATCAACAATTTCTCACGAGTGTTCAGATTCTCCGACGACCCGCGTGTCATCTACCCAGGGACGAACACGAGACTGAGCTCCGGGTGGCAGTGGTTCCAGCAGATTCGGTACGGGGACAATAATGATTTCTACTACGGAATGGGACTGCACGACGTACAACGTACTCTGGTGCGCGAAATTAGAACTCGATACCGCACTGACAAGGCATGATTATGTTTTCCAGCTTACTATTGCTTACCTCCAAGGCTCCAACTCCCCCTCGCCTTGCTGGATCCTGACCGGCGTCGTCGTCCGGAGCCTGCAAGACATCGGAATCCATATGCTGCGCGTGCCGCTGGCCGAGATGTCAACCGAAGTCGAGCTGTGGAAGCGCGCTTACTGGATGGCCATCGCCAGCGACACCCTCAGCAGTGCCTTCCTAGGTCGTCCCAGAGCGACGAGGGACGAAGAGTGAGTGATAAGCCACACGGCTCTGAATTGTCAACCCCTGGGTTGATATTTTTCCTGGCCAGTTACGAGCTGGACTATCCGGTGGACTGCGACGACGAGTATTGGGAGCATGCGGACCCCACACAGCGGTTCCGCCAACCCGAAGGGAAGCCGCGCCAATGGGCCTTTGCTCTTCTCTATGTCAAATTAATGGAGATCTTGGGCAAAGCCCAGAAAACCATTGTAAGTTGAATTTCGGCTACCTCGCAGAGAGTTTCTGATCCCATGATGTGCTCGTCCAGTACAGCACCCAGCGAACACAGAATGGCCAAGAGTGGACACAGGGAATGGTCGTTGAGCTCGAGTAGGCGCGATCACCCTCAATCCTGGGATCGTTAACTGAGGAACGCAGCTCAGCTCTGAACAACTGGATGGACTCTATCCCGGAATATCGTGAGCCTGCTTTCCTCAATACGAGAGCGCTGCTCATTTTTGGATTTTAGTCCGCTGGAACCCTCAGCTGGAACAGGAGCCTTTTGCCAGCCAGTCGGCTTGTCTCATGGCCGGGTACTACCACGGTAATATGTCTGATTTATTTTGATGTTACAATATCAATTGAATTCCTCGCAGTTCAAATCCAAATCCACCGCAGTTTTATCCCGTCGCCGACGCAAGATAACTACCTCTCTACTGCGAGAAAAATTCGAATCAATCATTTCCCTCGAACTAACTTGCACTGCAGTCCTTCCCTTCGCTTGCCATCTGCGCAAACTCCGCTCGCTCATGCAGTCACGTGATAGATGTTCAAACCAGACGAAAGCTGATACACCATCCGCAAGTGATGGTGAGTGTGATTTCGGTATTTAAAACAACATAATTTAAAATGTGCAATAGGCTGCGATCGTCGACTCTGCGATTATTCTGCTGATCAACGTGTGGGGCTCGCGGCAGTCGGGGGGAAAGCATCCTCTGAGCGCGGCACGAGTGGCGAAGGATGTGCAGAAATGCATCAACGCTCTAAGAGTATACGAAGAAAGATGGCAGTATGCCGGACGATACTGGTTCGTCCGTTCGCGGCATCGTTCGATTGACGCTGACCCGGCACAGCGACTACATATTCACAATCGGGAACCAGTTCCTCAGTGGTCCTCTGAGCCAGGACGTCGAAACGAACAATCTGAAGCGCCCACGGGGGGGTGAAGACGATGGGACGCAGAGGGTAGGGGTTCCTCCTCAGGAAACAGCGGTGTACGAACATGGGACACTTCCCATGTCGACTGAAGAGTTAGGCACGCTGCCCATCTACCAGTCCTTCGATTGGGCGAGTCCGGTCATCCAAGATTCAGGGTTTGAGGTCCCAGGTAAGTGTGTTACATCCCAGGAATTGTAACCAATGTTGAGACCATCACAGGGTCGGAAGCTCGCAGTTTCTTGCCATACCAGGCAGAGAGTGCAGAAGAGTGCGTAGGTTCTTTTTTGTGTCGTTCACGCTCTGATTCTGCGTGCGCAGTTGGTCCACGCGCGATTGGTCTCAGTACATAGACATCGAGCTGTGGTTGCAGCAGAGTCTGTCTGATGCGCAGTAGGATCTGCGTCCGGCTCTATGCTTGTTTGCATATGCTGCATGGTCTGTTGTTATTTCTGTTACATTATCAGAATCGTTGTAATCATAAAAACGGAGTTCGAAGCTGAGCCTCTGTCAGACGGCTCAGCTCCATTGCTACGCGTCATACACTCGGTGGGTGGAGGCACCTGGCCGACTTCGGACGCGATCTCTGGTAGACGGAACTGCCACTTAATATCTTCCGCCTGGACTCCATGCGGAGGAAATGTCGAGAGTACAGCATCCGCGATTGAATGTACACAATCGCTAGTCTTGGTGATCATCGTAACGCTACGGGGCAAGAATACCAACACCCAAGCGGATAAGATGAGACTAGATACGATACAAACAACATCTAATCTACCGCCTGCGACTCTTGCTCTTCCTCTCAGAATCATCGTCAGGTCGCACCTTCCGCTTTTTAGTCTGGGAAGCCGACTCCGCCTCGACGAGGGCGCCCAGTTTTGCGATCACTTCCCGCAGTATCTTTTTCTCTCCGACGCGGACCACCAAGGCGTACTTTTTGTTAACAGCGATGCTTGGGTTCTCAAGCATTGCGATATCAGCCTTCGATGTCATCAGCTTTGAGAAACGCGCGGGCTTTTCGACGCACCTCGAGAGTAGTAGGGTATTGCGATAGCCTGGACTCGAAGACTGTTTTGACGATCGGGAGGACTTCGCCATCGATCTTGGGTTTTGGGACTTTGTCCTTTTCAACGGCCTGCTCCCATTCACCCGGGGTGAGCCGTAGCAGGCGGATCAGCGCAACGAGAGCCAGCGGGATCTCGAGATCTGATTCCAGGACAAGTACACTGCGGGAGGTGAGTCATGTGTAATCCGAGACACAGTCGAGCGGCAACGCACTCGTCCCCGCCTTGCTCCAGCCACCAGTCTATCCGCTCCTTTGTTGTCCCCGCGTCCAGGCCCAGGACCTGCACAGCAATGTCCGCGGGTATCTCCACGACGTCCCCGGGGTTCCCAACGTCCCCGTTGGGGAGTGGGAGCATATCGACATGGCCGTATCGTCGGAGCAGTTCGGAATTGGGAAGGTCTCCGTACGTGTTCCACTGCACGTTCTGAGCATACGCTGATCAACGGCACGAGATGACCTACAATCTGATCACCGGCTTTGATAGGTTTCGTCGAAACCATTCGCAGCTCTTCCTTTTCGTAGAACAACTTGGCCTAAACGCATGCCTGTTTTAGCTGAAGAAGCAGAAAGCCGATGGCTACAAACATTCTCAGAACCGAATTGGGCATTCAGCATGTCCGCCATTGGAACCATCGCGACATTCGCAGGCTCCTCCTCCTCCTCAATGTTCTCCAGGTCGTCTTCAGGTTCGTTTGTGTCTGCAGCAGGTTCTGCTTCCGCAGGACCATCAACATCCATGGCACTCCCAACGCTAGTGTTAGCGGCCACGTGTTCCTCTTCTGTGTCGTCTGCATCCCCATCTTCGTCCGGCTCGTCGTTCTCTACATCGAAGCTTCGAGAGAGGATGCGGCTGCCCATGATGTGGTAGATTTCCAAGGTGTAGTACGTGTATATTGTGTCCACCGGGAAGATGTCCGGTCGGCTCTAAGCCTTGGATCAGGATCTTATAGGGCCGGATTCCAGTGGAGATCTCACCTGGACGAGAGGCAGCAACTTCTCGGTGAAGTCGCGCTCTGCGTCATCCCTCCCTAGCTTCGCTATGCTGGAAGTGAGTTGTAGAAGAGAGATCACGACATAAGACCTAGACAGACCTACCACAGTGGTCCCTTGCAGTTCCCGCAGATCTTCGTCGTTCCAGAACATCGGTGTGTCGAAGGTCGATGGCAGTGAATCTGGGGTAGGCCCTTTCAGAGCGCTCCAAGTGCGATACCATACCAGATGGACTGACCCAGATACCCCGACCACCGTGAGCTCGAGCCCTGCGCAGTCTCCCACATCATGCAGAGGATCAGTCCCGCCCACCCGATGTGCATCTTGCGTTCCTTCCAGTGCGCCAGTCCGACACGCCCCGGAAGCTCGGAGTTCTCGGGCGAGAGGAGGATGCTCCTGGGTATTCTGAAGAGAACGTGGCCCTCCTGATCGACGGCAGGTGAGCATCGCCGTCTTCGCGTCGGCCCGTCGCACGAGTACGCACAGGAACGTCTTTCAGCGCGACTGCACCGCGCCCGCAGCCAGGGAACACGGTGAAGCCGACAAATTCTTCGTCAAGACTGCCTCCGCTCGTTTTGAACCACTTCACGAGGTCGGCAACGTCGCTCATAGTCGCAGAGTAGCAGCTCACAAAAAAGACGATGGATGGTCAGTGGCTATGTTCTGATTACATCAGACGCGCTCTCTCTAATCATATCCACTCCTCGCGATGCGTCTCAGTGCAAACGGCTTTCAAGCGTGGGTGTCCATAGCGGGCGAAGAGGCAGAAAAATACAATACAGAGGATACCTATCATCCTTCCGGACAGACCTGCTGGATCGCATCTGAAGCAAACAAAGTCCGTCCTTTCCGGTTTCCATCCAGTATAGCGGGGCTGAATGCGACGCTTCCGTCTGGAGGGGTTTTCGATCCATTGGAGGCACAACGGCGCGTCTGGCGGCACGTGCACGCGAGTGTGGGTGGACGGGATAGAGTGTGCAGGGGAAATACTGCAAGGTCCAAACTGCACGGGCGGTATCCCAGGCCGACGAACCTCAGGGTCGACAGTCACACCATTTGTGTTCTCGAATCTCAATATCACAGGTGCGGATCGCTCTCGCCTGCAGTGCACAAAAGTCACAGTACTTTGCAGACGATGATGCATTCCTGGACTCGTCTATCGCGCATAGAGACATCGGGCTGATCAAAGTGGAGATGTGGACCGTCAAAATGATGGGGACCAAGCCCTACAGTGACGTCGCCCCAGTGCAGGAATCCAAAGTCCACGAGCGGTCAAAGAAAGGCATCGCGCACCAAACGAAGCAAGTTGGCCGTGAGATGCTTGCCCATTCTGAGAGCTCGCTTCAGGTTCGGGAAAGCGGTCGTGACCACCCCAAGGGCGGCGGCCGTATTCGAGTACCTGGAAGACAGTCCGCGTGCTACCTTCACATTCAAATATCGCTCGCTCGGTGTGTGAAACCGCCGTACTGCTCGGACGCCGCTGAATCCTCGAGGACCCAGACCTTCTCCAAGCGAATGAGATTGCGCAGGCGACTTCGAAGACCGCCTCCGCAAAGCGCAAAGCGCAATCTCCCAGTCTTGCTAAGACCGAAAGAAAGGCAAGTAGACGTCTGAATCAAGGCATCCCAACTAAACGGCCCCGGCAGCCTCCGAAACGCGTCAAGACGGAGCACCCTCGCTTCAAGTCAGGGGAGGTCATAGATCTCACCACCGGGAGCGATACACCGCAGATTATCGATTTGACATGAGGGGCTGAGGAGGGAGGGAGATCTACGATATTCATGTGTAATAAGTAGCAGTATCACGGTCCATGACCAAGAGCCTGCGGTGTTCCGGTCCGACTCGGAGCATAGGCGATTCCAGCTGCTCATCCCGCAAAACCCCGGGCCCAAAGCATAGATCTCTACTGCTTCGTTCCCGAGAGCCACTAGCGAACAAGACTCAACGAAAGGCAGAGATCCAGGGGCTTTAGAGAGACGCGGAGCAAGAGCAACGACGAGGCCGGCACATTGGCGCTCAGATCTGCGTCGCAGGACTTCGGGGAGCGTGTGACCTGAGGAACAGGGCAGCGAGGCAATTTCGCGGCGTTGAGCTTGAGCCGTCCGTTGGCTGAGGGGCATTCGAGGGCGGCTGAGATGGAAGGCAGAGCCTAGAAATGACAGGGCTTCCCGGCAAGGAGGAAGCCGAGAACACGTGGAACAGGCTTCACACGTCTCTTCTACATCTCCCTGCACAGACTTGAAACTCGCGCAGGGTCCCGGCGCGCGCTGTTCCCGTGGCTGGCGGGGGAAGAATGCTTCTGCTGGATGCTAATCGCGCAAAGTTCAAGGAGCTGCACACGGAATACACCGAAAATCTAGAAGATGTGCTTGCGTTACAAGGAACGTTAATTCGCGATATCCTACCGGGAGTGGTGGAGGAAATAAGAGTGGATAATGCACAGCAGTGGGAAGTCTGGGCGAGAGATTGGCTGGAAGACCAATGTGTGTGCCCGGTTGAATTTCATAAATTGATGTTGATCTTCATGGAAGACTCGATGTTTCGAATCCTCCGGGTGCGGTGCTATAGGCTCTCTCTCTCTCCTCTTGTTCCTGCATTGATATCTCATATCTCTAGCGAAATAAATTCACTCGGTCGTTCACGATAGAAGCTGTCCGGAAGATCCTGATCTGGAGATCCGTCCACCTCTGGCCGCCAGCATGCCCGGTGCAGATACCTCTGATACAATGTCTCCCTTCTTCCGCCACAGATCCTTTCGGCCGGCCTATCCTCGTCCTCAAGGTCGTCTCGTTCAATGACAGTTCCGACGACCACAAGCCTCGCCTGCTTCGAGCGCTGGAGTGTCTTCGGCTACATCTGCGGAGCCTGAACGACAGCTCCCCCCAATCTCCGCATCCCATACTACAATATGTGGTCCTTCTAGACCTGAAGAATCTCTCGACGCAAAGCTTGGTACGCGAAACCGGGAAATCGGCTGTCCCATTAAAACCCAAAATTGATCGCCGTCCGCCAGAACATCGATCTGGTCACCTGGGCGCTTCGAGAGGCCAACCCACGCTTTCCGGGTCTGCTCGCGGCGGGTAGTTATGCGCTATTATGTGAGCACGGCGGACGGCGCTGATGTCATCCAGTGTTCATGATCAATTACTCGTGGACCCATGCGGGGATCTGGAGCATCGCCAAGCGCGTGCTGCCGGAACGCGCCTTGTCACGGGTTTTCTTCCCGACGAGCGAAGAGCTGCTCCGTTATTTTTCTCCCTCGATGCTGCCACAAGGTCCTGAGTCTGACTGCTGGGAGCCCGCTACACACACTCGGCATCAAAAGCTAATATGAACCTTGACAGATTATGGCGGAAGTCTTGCTTCTTTGACAGAGTTACCGAATCCTCTGCGGCAGGACCCGCCGGTCCATGGCAGCCGCCACCAGCCGCCGCCCCAGAGTCCGACCCCGTCTCCCTTGCCAGGACCCTCGATCGCAAAGAACGCACCCTCGGTCACGACGAGTATCCATCCGACATCTCTTCTAAATCCGTTTTTCGGATATCCTGTTTCTTCTTCCGGGACGTCGAGGACGCCGTCTCTGAGCTATGGGCGTCAGCGGAAACGAGATCTCATCCGCACCCTCCTGCTTTTGGCTTGGACACGCTGGGGCCGTCATGCGATTGGCTCAGTGTGCGTCGCCGCTTTGGCCTTGATTTTTGCCAGGAGAAGACGGGCGGTGTTTTTTCTTTGGGAACGTGTCCGGGAGCTGTTGGGAACAAGCTGAACCCATTATGTATATTTGTGATGGTAGAGTACAGGTGGAACAAAATACCCGAGCTTTATATATATCTCAGTCCTGGTGAGTTCCATTTACATCTACAGAAAGTACTCGGGCAGCTGCTGTTATCATATAAAAGGTGAGCCTGGGATGCAGGTAATTATTTCCCACGTACCTGGCCCTGCGCCGATTGTTGCGCAGGTCCGTCTCTCTCGTTTTCAGGCGCAGCTTCGAAGACGTTGAAGTGCATGCTCAGCCCGGGACCGACTTCGAGAATACTCCCAGAGTTGCCGCAGCGATAAACTGGATTGCCGCGTTCAGCGGAACTTGACAGGGCTGGACTCGACCAACCATAATTAGGCGCACTCCAGACCGTGGAAAGATGGCCGTCAAAAAGTGTCGAATAACCCTCCATGCAGAGCTGATGTGCGCGGAGAATGTGCACCATCCCGTTCATTTCTAGGAATTTATGCACTACTCCCGAGCCAAACGTATATCCCGCGCCTCTAGTGCCCAGAAATGCGTTAGACGGATGCGCGACAGTGCAATAGAAATGACAGTTCCGAACCGAGGTGAAATCGCGAAATCTTCTTTTTCTGCATCGGGATCCGACCTGCGCTTAGATGAGACTCACGATACAGAAATAGATGAGGTGAGAATGACCAAACGAGATCTGCCATCGGGCCGTCATGGGGAACCTCTGGAAGCATGTCATTGTCGGGCATAGATAACATGGGGAGCATCACCCGATACCTCGAAATCTGTCCATGACTTTGATCTGGTCTATCGAATGGATGGAGGGCGATAATCCTGTGCCGATGGATCGATCAGATGAGGGATCTGTAATAGGCAATCTCCGACCGACGAACCTCCGTGCACGCAAAATATTCGGTCGTCTATCACGGCAGACAGGGTCAGGAAGTCGAACATGTCGGTAAAATATGTCCAAACATGGGGCGAGCCATATTTTCTCGTGCATTCTGTGTAGAAGCCTGTGCGATTCAGTATCAGCCAAGTAGAAGGAAAAAAACAATTAAGACTGGGTCACAACCATAATTCTGAAAACGGTCAGAAGATGTTAAACAATGATATAAATCACTACCTGAGTGACGGCTCTGGATTCATGATTCCCACGGAGCAGCTGCACGCGCTCTGGGTATCTGAGTTTCAGACACATCAGCAGCGACATGGTCTCTACACTGAACAAGCCTCTGTCGACATAATCCCCTGTAACAGCGTCACAAATCAATGCATCAGCTCTAAACAAAAAAGGCACCAAGAAACAAATAGTTGGTGTGGGGCGCAAAGCCGCCGATGCGGAAAATCTCGACCAAATCGTAAAACTGTCTGCGGTCGTGTGAGCGGCCGATCCTCTTCGGAACAGGGGGGCCAATCCCACCCGTGTATGTCGCCGACGACAGTCACAGGTGATTTGACGTGCACGACGTTGGATTCGCGCATGAGCACCTCCTTCGCCTTGGCGCATATTTCGCGGAGGACGATCTCGTGCAGGAGCTGTTTGCGCAGAAGCTGCTCGATGCAGGCATCAATATCAAATGGAGCCATGCATCCGGGCCCGATCCAGTCCGATTTTGAGCTGGGCGGCGCAGGCTACTCGGGATGCGAGTTTACTCGCTCAGGTTCGGGTAAGGATGAGGAGGGTGTTCAGTTTGTTTGTTCTGTGATGGGCTGATTCGGGATCTGCCGCGGGCGTACTTAACCTTTTGGATGGGCCCCCTCGAGTGACAAACGATTGGCCAGAAGGACCTGGGCCTTCTCCACAGACTCGGACAGACAGACACATGCTGACGGACACTGGACCCGGCGCTGAGCTCAGTAATAGCCTTTACACTAACTCCCTCTTGATCCTCCCTCCCGTCAGCAATGTCGTTGTCTGACATGCCATCATTTTAGCGCGCCCTCTCGCCCGGCAAGCGGTGGATTCTATAAGACTGTTCTAGGACTGGGCGATTAAGCAACAGATGCGAGGCGAGCATTATCACGAGCGGTATTTGCGTCATTGACTGGATGGTGCATAGCCAGCGACAGCTTCGAGCCATGTCCGAAAAAGGCGGCAAGTCCCTTGTTCTGTAGCTACAGCGACGACGGCATCGTCTTTGTTCGGGTTGATTGAATTGTGATATGCTCTTCCAAGCGCGAGACAAGCATATGTCGGAAGACCTCTTTCCCCCTGTTCTCTTCGTTTCCGTTCCTTGGAACACAGACCGATCTTCCTGCTTCATGTCAGATGGGGGCCGAACCATTGGCGAGGATGGGTAAGAATGTGCACCCTCCCCTCAGGAACCCGAATTCGACATCTCGAAGTCGACAACTGTAATGATAATGCCCATGAAAATCGGGCGAACGCACAGCTGCTGGAGAGATGATAAGTTTGATCGCAGGCACGTGTTTGGCACTAATTGCCTGCTTGTGTTCCGTCTCCGCCTTCATGTGCACAGCACCCCTCGTCTGACGTGTGGATACAAGTCTCTGCCTGACATCCCTGGGGCTTCACATGCCTGCGGGCTGCTTCAGGCTTTGCAATCTATCTCATATTTCCTTTCGTGGACACGCGGCTCCGGTTGTTCCTCTCCAGCGCACACACACAGTCCGTAATCAGGTCACAAGGGAGAGAGAGATAGAAGGACGGAGGGGGAAAAAGAAGGAGAAGAAGTGCGCACTGCCTTCAATTGAGGTGACCTCCGGCAAGGGGGACGTTTCTTTTGGCCGAATTCGGAAGCGTGCGGTCGCTAGCTCCGGCAGGCAGATGCAGATGAGGGCTCCCGCATCTGAGATTAGCTTAGCGCTCTCTGTGTGTCGATATGCCCAAGATTTTCCCGGCGAAGCCTGTACCCGGAGCCCTGACGTGACCAGGAGGATGGATACTATGTATAATCGGGGAGTGATTGCAGATTCGCATTGCATTCTTTCTGCTACCTCCTCCCCAGGTTTTCATTTAGCGTGTCTCGGTAGGTTGGGCGCTGTGACAAAAACAGCCGTCTTTTGGCACGAATACCTGCGACTGTACTCCGTGTTTTCGCTCCCATGAATCTCGGGCAAATTATCTCGTAAATCTGCGCTTGTCCAAACACGAACGACATGTACTCACCGCCGTGATTCGGCTTTCAGCCCTATTAAAGCACCGGGACAGGCTATGAGCATTCCATCATACCGCCTGCACAAGTCCTACGCCGCCTACGCCACGGATCCTCGATCTTGCTATTCTTCTTCTTCTGAGATGTCGCATCGCCCGTACTCCGCCTACTCCAACTACGGCGATGCCCCTGGATCGCCCAACGCGTATTCGCCGACGGACGACGGCAGAGGCCACCAATACTCTAACGGTGCGTGGGCAGAAAAAGAAGTGGGTCCTTCTGGTCCGATCTTCTGGCACAGTGCGCGGGCAGCGGTACTACCCGTCCTCTTCGATCACATCCGCTGATCGGTACCCGACGAGTCCTGCCGCCAGCCAATACCAGCAATATCCGTACCCAGCCGGCTACGGGTACCAGCATGCCCCGCAGCCCTCGTCGTCGTCGTCGGCCTCGTCGTCAGCGGCGCCGCCACCGGCCCCGGGCCCGGCGCCGTATTACGCTTCGTCGCAGTTTATTCCGACGCCCTCAGAAACTTATGCTCGGCCGCGCACCGCGGCGGGAATGCACCCGCACTCGCCCATGGACGGATACGGCCACAGCCGGGTGCCGGCGGTGAAGCCGGCGTCGGGATCGTCGCGGCCGAAGAGCTCGATGGGCATCGGCCTGCTTGCGCCTGCCGCGACGGAGCGCTTCGAGTGCACGCTCTGCGGCAAGGACTTTTCGCGCGCGCACGACCGCAAGCGCCATCACGAGACGCAGCACACCAAGACGCCCGTCACGCACCGCTGCAAGTACTGCGAGAAGGACTTTAGCCGGTGCGCGCTGTGTTTTCGTTGTCTCCGGGCACAGCACTGATTATCTCTGCAGCGCTGATTCTCTGAGACGGCACCAGCAGAATGGCTGTGACGAGGCGCCCAGGCCCCAATAAACCGGATTGTAGTAACCCAATGGCTATTCTTGTATTCTGAAAACGGCCGCGGGCCCCGTACTGTAACTGATCCATAATGTCGAATAATCTCTTTGTCTTTGCTCTGAACAATCATATGTACTAGCACCCGAACTCGTGATGGTCGGCTCGATCCAAGGGCACCATCGGGACCCACATCCCCAGCCTCGGTCGCCAGCCCTACGATCCAGCTCCGGACCGGCCAGCATGCACAGCCCAGAAAATGCAAAAGCCTGAACGCCAGAAGCATGGCTGACTGGCTGACTGGCTGACTGGCTGTCTTCGGTCTGACTGCGCAGGTGCAGGTGCAGAAGCGCATGTGCCCCACAAGAGGCATCATCTCGTCCACACGACAAACTCAAAATGCCAGCTCGGGGACCTGATGGAGCGCTAGGGTATTCGCATGACGAGCAGCCGGGACACGACGCTAGCGGGCATGCTTCACACCGGGCTGCATTATGCACTCCGATGTGATAGCATGGAGCGATGCGTGTAGTAGTCATCCTCCGTCGAGTTGCTCAGCCCAGTGACGCCACCGTCCTTTGTACGTCCCACCTCGAGAACGTGGCCCTCGGACGAGAGCTGCTGCCGACCTGGCGTGGAGCGAATTATCAGTGCTGGGCCCGGGTCGATAGCGAGCGTTTCATTTGGGCTGTGTAGACAAGATGCATCTAGCAGCAGCAGGTAAATTCATCAGTAACCGCCGGCATTTCGTGTCCGTGCCCAACTTTAATCCAATCTGAGCACTGGCCATGCGGCGTCGCTGAGTTTCAAATGCTCCTTCCAGGGCGCATCAACGCATCACTGACGGTGATTGATGAGATCTGCGTGCGGCTGTGCGCCTCTGTCAGTCAGCACTTAGTCCTTATTCCGCGGACCCTCGACAGCAACAGCTCCCGCACTGATTCGATCTTATGTTGAACTGAATTGCCGGGGATCGATATGTTGTGTCTGAAACCAGGTGAAACCGGCACGCACGATTAGGGTCTCCGGCGCGCTGTCTGAACTCCGAAACTGCGCATAAAGTACAATCAACGTCACCCCCCGACTGACAGGGTTGGTTTGAACATCCGTCTGGGATCCGCATCGGGCTGTCGGGCTGACCACGCAGAATGCACATGCAGCCCGAAGGGGTGCGGGTGATATGCAGGTGTAATCGTCCCGTATTGGATGCCAGTCAGCGCGATTCCGTCGGACGGGCGTCCTGCAGCACCGTATCCAATTCCCTGGGAGGGGAAAATCATCAGCCACAGAAATTCAGATTCACGCTTTGCGGCTTGAAAGATTCTGTCGCTGGCGGCGGCGGCGGCGGGAGTAGCAGTACCGCACGTGGTCAAGGACCGCGGCTGACTCAGCACCTGTCTCTCTGTCAATCAATCAACCCATCATCCCATCAGAGCTACTTTCGACTTTCCCCACCGCCGCCATGTCCGACCGGAACGACCCCAGAGACGCCTCCCTGGAGACAAAGCTGACCCTCCCGGCGCCGTGGTACAAGGAGAGCTTTGGTGCGGTGCGGCCCGTCCTGCCCATGTCCAACGCGCTGACCATTCTCGTCAGAGACTGGACTGCAGACGTCGGGGATGTTCCTCTCGGGTCTGATCATGGTCACGCGAAACCGGTGCGTTCAGAGCTATCCCAAGCCTCCTAATAGATGATTCTCACGTATGTGCCCCCTCCTCCTTCCCCAGCTTCATCGCCTGGCCAGCACTCGTCTTCGCGATCAATGCGACGATCAACCAGCACCCGCTCCGGGCGAAAGAGGGCAGCGGCGGGCAGACGTCGAACCTATTGTGCGTGCCGCGGCTTTGTGTGTGCGTCCCTCGACTGGCGGCTAACGGATGACTTGGCTTGCGGCAGATTGTGTGTGACGGCGCTCATAGCAGCGTACATACCCATGTTTATGGTCACCAAGGTCGCGCCGCCAGCGACGGGTCTCTGAGTGGCGTAGAAATACAGCATATGCATTTCTCCATACAGGGCTTGCAAGACATTGGAACGCATGCTGTCATCGAGGAACGCGTTGAATTGCAGCGAGTGCTAGACTCGAATCCAGCATCTACACTGACAGGTCAAGATGATGACTGTAATTTCGTCATGTTTGAACTAGTGTGAACAAACCACTACTTGTTCGAGTCTGATCGAGTCTAAAACATGAGGTGCTCACACAAGCGATATTGGATCCCAGGCCAATGATTTCCATTTCCTACCAAGTATGTACTACTATACAACAACATGAAACGAGTCTAGTCAAAAGTCATGCGGTTCTTCATGGCAGGCCTCTTGCCGCCGAACTTGCCGCCGAACTTGCCACCCTTCCTTCCCCCTCGGCCCGTTCCGTTGGCGGCAGCGGGCGCAGCAGTGGGAGCAGCTGCTGCTGCAGCACCGGCGCCGTTGGCTGCAGCCCCGGTAGCCACAGCGCCAGCAGCTCCAGCAGCGGCAGCTCCAGCAGCAGCGGCACCTGCAGCAGCAGCTCCCGCACCTGCACCGTTAACAGCAACAGCCGTGGCAGTCGCCGCGGGCGGGTTCAGGTTACCCGCAGCGGCAATCGTGGCGGTCGACTGGCCCTGGACGCTCGCCACTGCAGATAAGATTAGATGTAGATTCGAGTGTGATAGGAACGGGATGGCTCACGCGGTCCGAGCAGAGAGTCGACGGCGGCGGTCTGGAAGAAACCGACACCGGCGTTGCCGGCGTTGATGGAGGTGAGTTGGCCAGAGGCGAGCTCAGCATCGGCCTCAGCGTTAGCCGCACCGGTCTGAGCGAGGGGGAGACCATTGACGGCAACGACCTTGCCGCCGGAGGACAGGACGTTGAGGGCGGTGGCGATGGCGTCCTGGACAGCCTTTTTGAGATCGACCGCCTGTTGGAGTGTGATGGGTGCGTTGGCAGCGGTGGAGGAGTTGCCGCCGAGATCAGCAGCGTCGTTCTGACCGGCGAGCATGTCAATGGGGATATCGATGGCGGTGCCAGTGGCGGTCTGTTGAGGCGACCAATAAGACTATGAGCATGTCAAATATTGAAGTCAAATACCTTGATCTCGTCGATAAGATCAGTGGTCAATTCTCCGCGCGAGACCAAGAACGCAATGTCGTCGAGGATGCGCGAGCGGCGGAAAGACTCGACAGCAGCAGCGCGCTCCTCGATCGATCCGTAGAAGTGACGGGACATGGCACGGCCGCCCTTGCGACCCTTGCCTTTGCCTTTGCCAGCCTTCTTTCCAGCAGCAGCAGCCGCGGCACCGGCGGCACCAGCAGCGCCTGCAACACTAGCAGCACCAGCGGCACCAGCAACACCAGCAGTTCCGGCAGCACCCGCAGCGGCGGCACCGGCACCAGCGGCGTTACCAGCGGCGGCGGCACCCGCAGCACCTCCTGCAGCAGCAGCACCTCCAGCTACACGGAATCCAATCAACGATTGACCTGGCATTTCCCAAACCACAACTTACCCTGCGTGACAGCCGCGCAACCGCCGAAGGGACCAGCGCCCTGGGCGAGTGACAGGGAGTTGTTTGTTCCTCCGTTGTTGAGTCGGATCAAACATGTCGCACCGTCAGCGCCACCCGTGCACTTGGTGCCAGCAGGGATCTGCGCCGTGAACGGCACATCGGCCGGTCCACCGCTGGATAGGAATCAGCCAGTGATTGAGAGGTTGCAGATTGGACGCACTGGAGGATACCATTGATGCCCGGCGCCTGGACGAGGACGCTTGCCGGGATCCAGGATGCACCAGTAGCATCGGTGTTGACCATGGCAGTGAAAGGGCCTCCACCATCAGCGTTGACCTGGTGCAGGGTGAATTGGATGGAGCCGTCCGCTGCGAACGAAGGCAGCGCTCCGCCACCCTGTGCCAGAGCCGCGGTCATGGCCGCAGGGATGTTGACGCTGCCCGCGAGGAGAGTCGCACCGCAGGGATCGTCCTTGAGGTTCTTGAGCACAGGTGTGTCCAGCTGAAACGGTTGTTCCGTTGTGCCCGTACGCGGAACGGTATTCGCTGCGATCCAAGTCAGCTCCGATTGGCCATCGGAGGGACGTGAATATATGCTACGCACTGACGCCCATGCCGAGGGTTTGCACCCCATTGGCACCCAGTACCGCAGAGATCACGGCGTGACCACGCACACCCGCAGCCAGGCTCGCCAGCGCAATGAAAGAAGTAGCAGACCTCATCGTAGTGGTGTTGCAAAGTTAGGTAGGTGAAGCACGAATGAATGAATGAATGAAAATCGAAAGGCGACCGGGCCTGACTGAACAAGAGAGAAAGTCGATGAAGGTGGCCAACTAGGGCTCTGGGATGGAGGGAGTGAGGGAAAGACCGCTGAAGTCCAGACTCTCCTATGCACTGATTAAATACACAGAAAAGACGGCCCGCCATGGAAACCAGTCCCAACAACCCGCGGCAAAACCAAATCATCTCAGCGCAATCCAGACTCCAAGAAACCAAGGCCCAATGGTAATCACACTTGGCACCACGGTTCTATCTTGACCCGGATTTCTGTTCACGTTCTGTTGCAGTTTTTGCCGACACTGGATTGCATGAAAGAAGATCAGAGAAGGGATCGCTGTCTCGGGGATGACGAATTCCGTGTAACCCTCGAAACGCGTATGTGCAAGAAAGGTCTAGAGGAGGGCCATGATGACATTTGAAGGTCCAGGTCAAGGCTCAAACACTTCAACACCGCCACGCGGGCCGACGGCGCGGTTCACGTGACAACGGATAGAACATCAGTATCAAGATGTTCGCTCGGCCTGCTCGACGCCTGTCTTCTATGGAGATCCAATTAAACAAAGCGCATGAACGGGTCGTACAGGCAAACCACATCAAGTAAAACCGCCTTTAAATCCTCTTCCCCTTGCTCTGCCCGTCGCATTCAGCAGCACCATGTTGTAATAATAGTAATCCACAATCGCATTCACTTGGGGCTGGTCATACACCGGCTTGCTGTGCGTGATGTGCCGCGGCCCGGGCGCATACCGTGTCGTGATCTCTACCTCTCGTCGCGCGAGCGGCGCCTTGTGATCCGTCCGGAAGCCAGCCGCGGTAGGAGGAAAGGCGACAACCGCATACTGACAAGATTAATTATTTTTTGTAATAGATAATTTCGTAAATCGAAGATTCTCACCTCAACTAGAAACTCAAAAACCTTCGATGTTGGCTGCAGGTTCGGCCGCAGGTGGATCTCCCCCATCAGCTGCCGGCGGGTGTCGTTGGCAACATCCCCAGGAATAGGCGGAGCACCTTCCGGCGACACCCAAAACGTCGCGACGCCACAGACTTCTGTCACACTCTTGAACCCGGCCGAGTTCTCTTGCACATGGCGTTCAAGGTAGATCGAAGGGGCTTGAACGGCAGAAAGGACGTCCAGTGCTTGCAAGTCGGTGTCAGTGCACACGGAATCGATGCTGATCGCGTGTAGCAAAGCGGTTTGGCCAGCCAGAGCTACCGCCCGTGACTAGAGTGAAAGACAGGCTATCCAGTATCACTCACTTTGTATTCAACCGTGACGTCACGCGTCGAAAATAGACTGCCTGTTGCGGTGAAAGGAACGGACACCCAGCCCTCGGGATCAGCTTCTGGACCCAGCAACGGGCTATTCTCCTGATACGCTAGCTAAAAATATCTGAGTCACTGAGCGGAACTTGCTTTGCAACAATCACCATTCGCAGAGCAGATGGCTCGCCGGGCTGCTGCATCGAAAAGTACCCAAAATTGCAAAGAGTCCTTCCCCCATTTCAGCGGCAATCGCAACCGAGGATGCTGCAATCAACCTACCGATCATTCAATCTCAGCTTTCCTCGCACGACTCGCAACTCGGCGGTATACCGTACACTGAAGAACGCCAGCTTGTCCAGGTAGGTGTGCGGCAACCTGTATTGGCTCCCATCTTTGTACGTAACGGTCGTTGGTATGCGTATTGCAAACGGCCACTCATACGCGCCCTTGAGCTTCACAGATGACGACGGGGCTGATGTTGAAGACCCTGCATTCGGATCGCCCTCGGATGCAGACCAGATACAGTGCTTGATATCGAGGAATGCAATCGGTACCGCTGCAGGCCCTCCATTGATAATCTCCCCCTTGACGTGGACGTAAACTCCGAAGATACTCTCCGCCGCGGCCAACGCCAACTTCACGGCGCCCTCCAGGCACGCCCCCTCAACGATCGTAGGGAAGTTCTTCGTCAATCGCCCGTCGCCTTTTATGACCAGAGTCGCCCATACCGTCCCGTTCTTCTTCAGCACGTGGCTGAATTCCAGAGGTGGAGGAGTTGCTGCGGGGGTTGGGGCGGGTCCGGAGCGCCGAGTATATGCGGGTAAGTCATCCTGTTGATGAGCATCAGATTGGACCAGAGCAGAGACAGTTGGTCCGTCGTAGGAAGGCGGCTCGAGGTAAACGGGTAGGGAAGCCAGCTCAGTCATGGCCGTTGTCCGCCAACACGCAGGGTGAGAGAGCTGACAGAGCTGTGATAAGGCATTGGCGTGTGGACAGAGGTGCGGAATGATTGATAGCGCGGCACTGCCACTGATTACTGCCAGGTCATGATCAGTTTAGATTCTGTCGAAAAGACATGGTCTTCCCAGCACATATGATCTATATTGATTGGCTGTTCATTTGCGAAGTCCACTTGTGAGCGAAAGCACCTATAGATTTCCCGGAGGTATATATCTATTGTACCCTCCGCTGGCCAAGGACCCAATGATGACTGGGATTCAGCACAACGAGCACCTCAACTGAAGCCCTTTTGCGGATCCCTGATAGCATTCAGCGTCTGAGGAGGCAGAAGATCTTCTATCCGTACCTGCGACTGTTTTGGACACGTATAAACAACCAATCCACCGCCGCTTTGACACCGGTGCTTTCGACGAGTTAGCGAGGATTTCATGGAACCGAAAGCAACCCACCCCTCTACGGCGCTGATACCCATGACGTCTAAGCTTGCAATTCGTTCCCGGCGTTCAATGTCTGCATCGCCGGAGCGGGCGTTGCGCCGGGCACTTTCGATCTTGCGTTGGTGCCATTCCTCGTAGTCCTGTCGGATCTCCTCGACTGACAGAGCCTGAGGGGAGTCTTGCTTGTTCGCGATGAGCAGAAGGGGTATATTCAGGATTTGCGGCGCAGAGAGCACCGAGTCTGCGTCCGGTTTTGAGAAAATCCTGAGAGGAATGCCAGACGCTCTTACCAAAGACTTCCCAGCCCTCTCCCAACCGCTCTCGATCCTCCGCATCAATGACATATGCAACTGCATGGCAGTCCTCGTAGTACCGGTGCCAGATGTTTCGTATTCCGCGTTGCCCACCCAAGTCCCAAAATTGGAGAATAGTGGACGGAAGCGTGATAGTGCCCGCTAGAAAGTCTCAAGCGCGTGCAAATAGAGACTGGGTGTCGCGTACTGTTTTGGCCAACCGTCGGCCCTATCTTGTCCGGGGAAAGGCCAGGAGTGTCGTTGTACAGCGTCTTGATCTTTTCCAGAAGAGTCTAATGGTCAACATGAGGCCGCGGCTAACAGCGATTCAGCGCGAACGACGTGCCGTCTTGCCCGCTCCGTCGAGGCCGATGATGATGACCGAGAATTCTTCCTTGCTATATCAAATGAGCCAAAAGGGATGCCACCGAAGGTCTACATACCGCGTCAGATATTCATGAAGGCCTCTGAGTAAGTGGTACATGCGCGCATGAGATGCGAAGTCAAGCTTGATGGCGCCAGTCAACAAGCGTCAATAAGTCTTCTACTCGTCTCTTGATCCTCGTCCCGTTTCTACCATGGGCCTTCTCGCCTCGTACTACAGTTACGGCCTTCCGACTTTTCTCGTAATATGCATCGCTCTCTACCTCCTCTTTACTGGTCCGTCGACGCTCGATTTCGCCGGAAACGTTGCTGACGTCGCCTTGAAGGCTCCGGTGAAGCATTCAATGTTGGCCGCTTCCTCGAAGAGACGAGTCCGTACGCGTGGGCTGGCACGGGTGTCGGACTTTGTATTGGCTTCAGTGTTCTCGGTGCTGGATGGTGCGTTTCACACGCTGCAAGTGTCTCTCAACAAGCAGTGACGCCATGCACGTCCAGGGGCATCTTCGTGACCGGTGCATCCATTCTAGGTGGTGGTGTGCGCGCACCGCGCATTGCGACCAAGAATCTCTTGAGGTGCGCCGTCGTCCGTGCTGCAGTAATCCGGTGACCCTGATTGAGTACGCAGCATCATCTTTTGCGAAGTTGTAGCCATCTACGGAGTCGTATGTCGATCTGCTCGCTGGACTTCGCTAACGCTCATGATGTGTTCAAGGTCATCGGGATTTTCTACTCTGCTAAAATCTTGCCCGTGTCCGAAGATCTCCTATATACTCGAGAGAATTACTTCACCGGTACATCAATCGCTCCAGTCCGGCACGCTGGCTGAACTTCATCACTCTCAGGATATGCTATCTTTTGGGGTGGTCTCACTGTCGGACTCTGCAACCTCCTCTGTGGTGTCTGTGTCGGGATTTCCGGTGCAACTGCCGCCCTTGCCGATGCTGCGGACCCCACACTATTCGTCCGCGTCCTCATCGTCGAAGTCTTCGGTAGCATCCTGGGCCTGTTTGGTCTCATTGGTATGTGCACACTGCTGCGTTGATTGCTCGCTGCCTAAGCCCACCCTTCCGTAGTCGGACTCTTGATGGTCGGCAATGCGACGGATTTCCGCCCAGGTGCAAAGGCTGCTCAACTCGTATTTGGTGCTTCGAATGTCACCGCCTTTGTACAGTAATCGTTGCGAGCACTAATCAGGAATGCATGGACTGGGTCTCTTCACATAGTGGATAATAAGTCGCCCACATAAGTAGTATATAGGACCATCAGCCAGGGCTTCCAATCAGACAGGTGGACGTGAAGAGCTTGTAGCCGAGGACGTATACCCTCTCTTCAACATAGGTACTGAGCCCGGCTCCAAGTTGTAAATACCAATGGGCAAGTCAAGTGCACATCGAATATATGTCACGTGGTCGATTGAAAAACACTCAGATGTAACGGTCACAGTGACGGCACGCGTCTCATTAATCTCAAGACAATACTTACCAACGCCTGCAACATGTCCAATGTACGCGGCCCCATGTCCGCGCTGACGGAATTTCTCCGGGTAAGTTCGTCTGGGCTGCCTCTAATGACTATGCTGACGCTTCTACCCAGGACACTGGTATCACACCCACAACTATCGCTCGTCGAGTTGCGACGAGGACACCGGATACTACCCCTGCGCAGCCAGAGGCAGGACCCAGCAACGGTGGAAGAGCCAGTCGCGGAAGAAATACTACAGCTACCACTCAACAGGTGGATGACGTGCGTTGCGCTCTGTTTTTTGTGTGTCATTGATCGCTCACTGTCAGCAGGAAGAATACAACTCTGATAATCTAGACGAGCCCGAAGCCCCTGCAAAGAAGCCGAAACTGACGAAGGCAGCCGAGGCCAAGGCCAAAGCGAAAGCGAAGGCTAAGTCTAAGGCGAAGAAAAAGAAAGATGAAGACGAGTCGGACGACGACGAAGACGCGTACACGGCCCTGTCGAAGTCGGCTTGGAGCGCCACCGGACCCAAACCTGCACCTGGAAGCTTCGCTAACTGTGCGGTCTGCAAGAAGAAGTTCACAGTTGTGAGTTTCTCGCCGTCTTTCCGCAACTCGCGCACGGCTCATTGTCATTGTCGGCTGCGATCAGACTCAGTACACGATGGCCGCCAATCCGGGCCCTGGTTTTCTCTGCCATCAGTGTGCGAAAGCCTCCGGTGCAGATCCCTTCAAGAAGTCCGCCGCGCCGCGCAAGAGGAAAGCGCCTGCGGAAAAACGGGCTGTCGTGCACATTGAGGAGCTCCGGTTCCCGACTCTGGTCTCGCTGTGTATCGACGTGTGTTGCCTTTTTGTTCCTGTACTCTCTCGATCCGACCCACCGACGAACAGGTCATTGCCAAGCATATTGACGATGTGGAAGCTTTCGGAGACATCGGGGCTCTGAACATGGAGTCTATTTCCAAGGCGCTGTCTAAGAATCGATCCCTGTAAGCTTGTTCTGTCATGGAAAACGTCGCCATTGATTCCTCTCAGCACCGCCGAAAATGTGCATCTGTTCTATGGCGCCGAAAACACGAAACTCATACTATATGACGCGACAAGTGAGTCTACTTATTTATCCAATTTCCCTTGCTGAGTTGTCCCAGATCTTACTTCAGACGCGTTCATCACATTGGGGCACCTGAATCCGAATCTGACCACCCTGCGTCTCGACTTCTGCGGTCCGCTTAACGATGCTGCCATGGCGATTTGGACGACAAGCATGCCTCGTCTTTCCTCACTGGAGCTTCTGGGACCATTCCTCGTGAGGGAGGCCGCTTGGATCGACTTTCTCAATGCGCATCCCGATCTCGAAAATTTCTTGATCACCCAGAGCCCGCGATTCTCTCTGCAATGCCTGGATGCACTGATAGGGACCTCCAAGACGACGCTACGGCAATTGCGCTTGCGCGAAGTCGGCAAGCTCGACGATGATTTCCTGCAGCCCATCGCACAGATCTCTGCGCTTGAGTATCTGGATCTCGCAGAGCCCTCAACATCTTTGTCGGATGAAGCTGTCATCGACTTGCTGGCCACAGTAGGGGCCTCGCTGACGCATCTGGACCTTTCTGGACATCGAGACCTGACGCACAGGTTCTTCGTTGAAGGGATTGTGCCAAACGTCCACAGCCTGAATTCGCTTCTCCTCACAGACATGACGGACCTGCTGGACTCTGACGTGGCTGCCTTCTTTGCGGAATTCGATAACCCTGGGCTTATGCGGGTCGACTTGTCCCGCAATCCGGGTCTGGGCACAGAATCACTTGCTGCGCTCGTCGCCCACTCCGGGACGACATTACAAGAGCTGAACATCAACGGGTGGAAGGACACGGCTGAGACATCGTTGAATCAACTCGTTATCGCGAAGGCGTTGCGGATCTTGGATGTGGGTTGGTGCCGATCTGTGGATGACTTTCTCGTCAAAGATCTGGTCAAGTCGTGTCCGGTGTTGACAGAGTTGAGAGTCTGGGGGTGTAATCGAGTCGAGGGGAAGTGGGGCCCAACACGCAGAGGCCTCAGAGTTCACGGAATCGAATCCCAGATTGTCGCATAGCTTTTTTAACATCAGCCATTATGTACGTAAAGTAGTAACGGAAATGGCACGACTATCAGAAAGCCCTCAAATCTCTTTCACCTAGCGTTTGTGCAACAACGGTCAGCTCGAACTCGTACTAGCTGCGCCCGCTCGGGAAACGACTGGGACGTCATTTGATTGGTTAATGGATGCTGGAGCCATAGAGATGCAGCTCTTTGATGCACTCCGGTGTTTTACGTGACTGTCAAATAGACAAAATACACGAGTCGTTCTTGGAATTGGACTACCACGTAGGCGTAGTGCATTTCGCTCTCAACGAATGGGCCATGGACCTGACTGGGTAAGGAGCCTCTTTTGCCGCCATCCTAGTAGACTGACAAGGAGTCAGGGGGGAGGGTTACCGCACGAACTGTTACTGTGCATATTTCGCGATGCTCTTCCTCCGCGGTGGCTTTTGACGGCAAGCCAAAAGTTTCAAACTGTGCTCCATCCCCTTCATTTCGTATTCTCCGATCGACGGATGAAGCTCTCGATACTCAACACCTGTAAAGCTTGGCACCAGGTCGGACTCGAGCTGTTGTACGAGTTTGTTGCAATCCGGCAAATCAAACAGCTCGTTCTAATCGTCGAAGCTCTTACGAATCGGCGGGACCTGCGCTCCCTGGTCAAGACCGTTGATATCGACTGCTTCATTCCTGCAGGATATGCTGCCCTGTACACGACCGAGATCGCTTTCCTCGTGGAGTCTTGCCCGCGACTGCGTTCCCTTGGTTTCAGCGCCCCACCATATCTCCTGCCCTGCGCTCCATGCGTAATTCCGTCCGTCAGCATACTTTCGCGGATCAAGTCTCTGCACCCAGGCCAGAACGTGCCTTTCCGCTTGTTGCTTCCTATACTGCAACAACTTGCGCCGGAGTTGGAGTCGTTGGGGTCAGTGATGCCTGATTATGATTTGGGTCATGATCACAGTCTCGATTTCCCGAAACTGATCAGTCTCCGCCTGGAATCTGTTATACCAAATGCTGTGTTGCCCAGTTGGCGCATGCCTGCTCTCCGGCGGCTTGTCTTGCGCGGGCCCTACGCGGAATCAGCGCCAGCGATGACCCCCCTACTCGATGCCTTGGTTCGCTTTGGAGGGCAGATCCGATTCTTACGCCTGCCCGACCAATTTGCCGACCGCAATGCACTCGACCAAGCCATCCTCAAAGCCTTCGCTGCGTGTCCTATGCTGCAACATCTCGCCTTCCAAAATTCTGATCCCAGCTCTTGGTACATGGAATTGCCGGGCGCCCATCCCCGACTGCAGGTCGTCGACATGATCTGCAGGATGGATCTGCCAGTCAGACTCGATTCGAACACAAAGCGCATCAGGCACGGCTTTCCCGCTCTGCGAATTTACCGCATCTTCGATACGGTGTTGTGCCAAGTCCGGGATCTACCGCTGTGCTCAGGCTCCGCCGCCGACCATGCTGACTGCAATGCGAGATGGGATACTGGGCTTGGCTCCCCTGACCCCGAGCAGCCTGATCGTCTAACATCCGGCTGGGCGGCATGTCGCACGGTCAGGGAGGAGGTTGAGCCGGGTCTGTGGGTGATTGGAGACCGCCTCTTCAATATCTCATATTCATTCGGAGAGTTTACTCCCGCCCGGACGGTCGATGCGGTCTGCTACCCGACATCTGTTGCTTCGACATTGTCTACCGTCCCCGAAGGAACTGATTCCACCGATTTTTATGAAGGGTACGAGTACGAGCACGATTGGCGCTCGAGGGCCGGCCTGTACGTTTGGCACCCGAGTATCTCCCCAAACGGTTGGTACCCGACTATCGACCCAATTGGTTGGCACCCGAGTGTCGACCTCACGGAGACCACAGGAGATGAAGGAACTGGTTCAGCCGATTTTTCTGAAGAGTACGAGGACGATTGGCACGCGAGTGACGATCTCGTGGAGACCGCAGAAGATGAATGCATCCTGGAACTATCTCACGCCGATGCCCTGCATGAATTGGAACAGATGCGCCAACGTGCTAGGGGGAAGGACATGAATGATACCTCAGATATCGAGGAGATACAAGAGAACGACCAAGACACCTCACCCTTACAGTAAAAATGCTGCAAATCTACTCTTTTTTCTACCTCTGCGGGACAATCAGATATTGTAGAACCAGACTAGTTTGATTGCGATTTGCGAACGAGGAAAAGCCAGGTTACCAACGGGGGAGGTACACACAGCCACATCCTCATTTTGCCTCCTCCAAAAATTTTGACGTGTGCGCGATGGTCGAGTCTTCGCATCACCATCGACCGACGCTCAAGCAGGTGAACATTGCATTCATTTAACTTTCGCCAACCACTCATTCGATCGCACGCAGCAAAACAAACCCTTCAAATCGAAGCACGCATCGAAATCGTCGTTGAGAGATGCGGCCAAGGGTACGTGCACCTCGTGCTCCCGTACCTCAGATCCGTGGCCTCGGAACCCTGTTTCACACTCTGTTTCTGCTATCGCACAGGTCGGATCGCGCGAGACTCCCCGAAATCCAACGGGACCGCCAAAGCCGCGGCCGCGCAGACACGCTTGAATCGTCGGAACAATGCCAAGCAGGCGCAAGCCGCGAAACGGACCGCTCTGGTGACCTCAACGCGCGTGTTCAGTGGGGCGGACGGGGCGCCGAGGATCGTGGCTGTTATTCCGCTGAGTGCGGATGTGGACGCGCGCGCGGTGGTCGCTGGGCTCGCTGAATCGCTGGACGTCTCTGCGGAGGATTGCCCCGAGCACGGTTTGTGGAAGATGCGGTGCGTCTCTGCCTCTCGATATCCCCGCTGACAGCGATTGACCAGCTATGTAGGGCAGAGCGATTCAAAACATCGATTCAGTTCCTCAGCGTGCCGTACAAACAAATCTACGCGGCGATGGACGCGTGCAAAACCGCCGACTACGTTCTGTTCATCCTCTCGTCGACAGTCGAGGTCGATCCGTGGGGTGACACGCTACTCCGCACACTACAAGCGCAAGGTCTCCCGCAAGTGGTCACTGTCTGTGCCCCGAACGACACCCTCGACGCTAAATCTCGCACGGGCGTCCTCAAATCCCTGCTCTCGTTCATCCAATACTTTGTGCCTACACAATCTCGCGTATTCGACCTGCACGCGCCCTCCGATCGGCTCAACGCTCTGCGTGCCATGGCAGAGGGTAAGCCCGCCGATGTGCGATGGCGGGAAGGCCGCTCGTGGCTGCTCGGCGAACAAGCCGAGTGGGAGGACGACGGGGCCGTTCTCAAAGTGACCGGTGTGGCCCGCGGCGCCCCGCTCTCCGTGAACCGTCTCGTGCACATCCCCAACCACGGGGATTTCCAGATCTCCAAAGTGCGCTCGGGCCCTATCTGTGCGTCTCCGTGAACCCGCTGACCGCTCCAGCACAGATCGTGACTGCGCCGGTGACGCGGCCGAGCAAGATGGAGGTCGAGCCTGCGCTGCTGTGCGAGGCCGGCGAGGATGCGGATTCGTTGGTGTCAAGCAACGACCCGGATGACATGGCCAATGAGCAGACTTGGCCGACGGAAGAAGAGATGCAGGGAACCGCGGGGGGCTCAGCCGAAGCGCCGATCCCTGACGCGGTGTCGGGGACGACGCCCAAGGCTGTGCGCCGCATCCCCAAGGGGATGAGCGAGTACCAGGCTGCGTGGATCGTTGACGAGAGTGACGGAGAGGACGATGAGAATGACGAGGCTGACGAGCCGGGCGGTGATGACGTCGAGGACGAGGAGATGATCGAGATCCCCATCGAAGAGGAGCCGCTGCAGGAGATGGAGCAGGGTAGTGTGGCGTTTGAAGACCTCGACAACGAAGAGGAAGACCGACAGTGAGGCAGCCGCGGACCAGGGTGACGTCAATCCACTCATTAGTTTGCAGGTTGGAGTCTTGGCGTAATCGCAAGCGGGAGGAAGAAGATGACCTCAACTTCCCCGATGAGATGGACACGCCCAAAGATATCGCCGCAAAGACACGGTTCCAGCGATTCCGGGGGATGAGGTCATTCCGCACGAGTCCATGGGATGCGTACGAGAACCTGCCGCGAGACTACGCGCGCATCTTCCAGTTCGAAGACTACAAACGCACCGAACGCAATGTTCGCCGACGGGCCGAGGAGGAGCTGGGTGTCGTTGAAGTCGGTGGCGTCATGTTTCTTTTGCAGGGACGTCTCTGACGTTTTTTCATGAAGCCTGGCACTCGAGTGAGTGTTTACATTCGTGGGGTTCCCCGAGAAGCTACCGAAAGCTCCGGGCCAGTGGTTCTCTTCGCTCTTCTGCAGCATGAACACAAGCTTTCCGTGCTCAATTTCACACTCCAACGGAATACAGAGTACGAGGAGTCTGTCCGTGCGAAGGTGATTTATCGCATGTCAGTGGAGATGATGGACTCGATCGCTCATCTTCGCAGGATCCCTTGATTCTTTGCGTGGGGCCTCGTCGACTTCGGGTGAACCCGATATACAGCCAGCATACGCGAGGAGGGGGCAAAGGGTCGAACAACGTACACAAATTTGAGCGCTATTTGCGACACGGTGTGACGAATGTCGCAACGATCTATGGGCCGGTGGTGTTTGGGACTCAGCCCAGTGTGTGGCTGCGCGAGACGGACGACCCGCTGGGTGGGTCTTGTGTTGCACGATAATCTCTGATATCAACTGACTCGATTGCGATTGCCATACAGCTCCACAGCTGGTGGCTATGGGCTCCTTCCTCAACACTGACACGACAAGGATAATCGCCAAGCGCGTGATCCTGACCGGCCACCCCTTCAAGGTGCACAAAAAGACGGCTACGGTCCGGTACATGTTCTTCAACTCAGGTGCGTGCCCCCCCCCGCGCGTCGCTGCTTCGCGCGTGACTCAGCGCGGCCCCAGACGACGTCGCGTACTTCAAGCCGATCCAGCTGCACACGAAACACGGCCGCGTGGGCCACATCCGCGAGTCGCTCGGCACGCATGGGTATCTCAAAGCCCACTTTGACGGGCCCATCAACCAGATGGACACTGTCTGCATGTCGCTTTACAAGCGAGTGTTTCCAAAATGGGCTGCGTTGCACCAGGGGCCCCCAGCCGCAGGAAGGGCAGGGGCAGCAGCAGCAGCGCATGACGAGGATGTTGCCATGGATTAGATAGAACACAGCCCTAAAATTAGGTAGCTAGGCGCAGTCCCAAAGTGACGAGCAGCTGGGATCTGTACTATCCACAACCACGCACGTTCGGCGATGCATCAAACCATCCTACCTGATAATGTAATCTGCACCTCCGAACCACCGCCGAAAGCGGAAACCTTGTTTTTATCTCTAAAAATCTATCCGGGCTTCGAAACGCGTCAAAGGCCCTGTCCATGACTCCAATGACATGTACATAAAGTACATACATCAGGCGCGGAAGCATCGAGCGTGGCACCGAAACTAACTCCTCCGGGGCAGCTCGACTGTACCCCACATCTTGCGTCCCTCGATGCTCCACACTGTGTTCTGATGGATTCCGCTGGGATTCTAACGCCTTTTTTGGCCTCGTGCGTGTGTGCGTGATGGTGCGCACGGATAAATGGAGCGCGCGTCCGCGCCGCAGTGAGCCCACACCTCAACTGTCGGCGCTATTATCCCGCGATTTAATCATCAAGAAGTCCATTGCAAGGATATCGAGAATTAGGTATCATGAAGGGACGTAAGAAAATATGCTACAAGGATTGGTCGTACAGTGCACAGGTGAGTCTACCGAAAGCTGTGGAGGCTGTCGTCAGGGCTCGGTCGATCGGGAGCGGGCAATCGGCACACACAAGAGATGATGAGGTTGAAATACTGCCAGGAAGAAACGGGGGAGAGACCGGAGATACGCTCAGACGCGCTGCGTGAGGGCTTGTTTCTGCTGCGGCAACGCTCCTGTGGGAGACAGATCAGCCCCGCCATCCTCGATCGAGGAGACACACAAGCTCCACGAACCGTTCCGCGAAATCATCCCATCCCGAGAAGCGTGGAGCGCCGGCAGCTTGGCCGCGGCGGCCTTGTGGTTGTCCAGAGTCTTGCGTGCGACAGCAAATTGACGACGAGTGTACTCGGCCAGGTCACGCGAGTAGCGTTCTCTCTCTTCGGCGGTGAAAGGCATTTTGGTTGGGTATGAACGGTGAGTGGGATGGGAGCAAGTGTTTGCGGTGTGCAGGTCGTGTGAAGCGTTGGCGAAGAGCAATAGAGTAAAGAAGTGCAGAAATACTTCGGTGGATTTATATGGGGCATGTTGACGCATGTTATTTCCAATAGTCGTCGCGACGTCATGGAGTTCGGCTCCATCGGTTTCCCGATTAGGCCGTGTTTCCGGGGATCTGACTATCGTCGACCACACAGATTCGCACTCCACGAGGCGATCGGGCCAAGGAATCCTGTCCAGACTTCCTCTAAGAGCCCTTCGAGGCCGCCTCGCTCGTCCCATGAGGGCTCGCGTTCCGGCTTCTCCAGTGCGATCCAACGCAAGACGTCCTTGACGGTGACGAGTCCCGTGAGGACTCCATGGTCCTCCACCAGAATGACGCGAGGTCTGTGCTTGCGTCAGCCAGGAGGAGCCACATGTCGGAAAGCTGACACACCCCATTCGCTTGAACAACTGCATCACTATCTCCAACGGTAGTTGCGGCGAAACAGTCAATGGCGTCTGACGAAATGCGTCAACAGAAGCACAGCCGGCTATGAATCGTCATCATTTTACCTGGTTCACCCACGGAGCAAAGTTGACGTTGCCCTCAGCTGCTGCTTCCAGGATCGTATCCGCATACTCTTCTTCGATCCCCACAGAAAGCGCGCTCCCCAAGTCAAAGCCCTCGAGGTCGCCATCTACCTTGAACAGACACTCTGTGTCAGATGTAATCTCCTGCGTCTGGCGCGAGCGCTCTTCTCCGTCGTCAGCACCACAGCAGGCAGAACGGTGTGCGCACACATACCCAGCACATACAGCAGCTCGGTGCGGCCAATGTATCCGGATAACAGTCCACCTGACACTATCGGGAAGCCCTTGGACTCGGTGGCATTGAGGACGGACTCTGGACCCGCGGTCAGGACATAGGCGAGATACATCGGACCGGCTCCGCACGCACCGACATCGCTCACGCGCATACCCGATTCATTCAAGGTGTGCATATCCTGCTTCATCACAGCCGAGACTGCCGCCGAGGAGTTAGCTCGTCGTCATCGCACGCGGTGGGTGGGCGTCTCACCCGACACATTAAACGCATGGTCTTCCTTCTCGAGGAACGGGAACCCGTTGAACCGGATCATCTCGTCCGCAATCCCGTTCGTGCCCAGAAAGTCCCCGACGGCCTTAGTTACGAGAAGCACGATCTGGGAGCAGGCCAGGTCAGTAATGGACAGCCTGAAGCATGACGCACGCTCACCATCGTCGGTAGGATGTAGGTCAGCGCACCCGTCAGCTCAAACATGATGACTACGACGGTCACCGTAATCCGCATCACCCCACTGCGCAAATTCAGCAGCTGACCTGAGCACAAAAAAACTCGCCGTACCTGAGCGCTGCGGCTGCGCCGAGGAATGCATAGGTGCCTGGCGTGATGCACGGCGCATCTGGAACACAGACTGCGAAGATCCCAGACGTCGGGTACGCCCTGTTAAACTGTCAGCACATCGAAGCCACAGAACCTGGCAGACGCACTGGTACATCGCCTTGACCACGATGCCCACCATCCGCCCAAACGTGGCTCCTATCGCCATCGAAGGCACGAATATCCCGGCCGGAACTTTGCATCCATACGACACGACGACCAGGCCGATTCGAATAAATGTAGCGAGGATCAACGAATTCGTGATCCTCCACTGCATTGCTGATTGACACACGTTGTTGAAATCTCCGCCGTTGTCACACTCCCGAAAGAGCAACGACATGCTCTCGCTCATGTCCATCCTCAAAAACTGATTAGAGTAGCCGATCATGGCAGTCAGGGTCGCAAGCAGAACAGCCTCCGCGACACCGTGATTCGCCAGAAACTTGCGTCTAAAGGCAGCCACTTGCAGATTGAACTTCACGACGAAGGCTCCGTAGAGTCCCTGAGCCAGAATTATTCCAAGTAATGCGCACGTGTTGTAGACACACACCCCGAATATTCCCAGAACAATGAAGAACATGATCTCGAAGAAGTGCCAGTCGCGATCGTACGTGACCTGGAAGAGCACCAGCTTTCCCGTTCGGAAAGGATTCATCGCCTGCTCCAATGTTACTCCACGACTCAAACAATAAGCCGAAGGGACGTACGGAGAGTGTGACCGTGGCTACTAGCGCACAAAAGAAGCTCTTCCACATGGTCTTGATGCTGAACGAGTGGCTCATTTCCTACTCCGAGTCGGAAACTTTGACAGTCCTCGATGCCAAGCACACGCACCTCGATCGAGAAAAGCACTCCGCCGATGGGAGCGCCGAAAGCAACAGCAACGCCAGCGGCGCTGGCGGCTGTAACGATCTCTCTCATTTTCGCTGCAAGAACCATCAGTGCGAAGCGATAGCCACAAGCAACGGAGCACACCTTCGCTGCGCCGGAACTTGGCAAACATCCCGGCGACCAGGGAGCCTACGCAGCAGGCCACATGCACCGAAGGGCCCTCTTTGCCCACAGAGAGACCGGAAGCGATTACCAATGGCTGCGAAGGAACTTGTCAAAAACCCCTCTCACACAAGTGTTACACACATACCAAGGTAACACTTTTGATGAAAAACGTCGCGAAACCCAGGAAACCCTGCATGACAAACCCTGCCAGAATGCACTTGATCTCCGAAATCCCAGAGCCCGCAGCATACTTGGCGAGCCCGCGCACCAGATGCGCAGCGACAAACGAAAAGATGGCCTGTGCACGGACAAGAGAATGAACGACGGCCCCGGGGCTTCGCGCGAGCACAAGAAAACGCACCGCAAACAAAACATAGATGAACCACCGCGCGATGGTGACATGGCTCCAGGGATGCCACGAGTCGCACCCGTCCGTGTCGTCTCCCTCGATCTCCCAGCAGCAAAACTGCTCGTTCAGCCACCACCCGTCGGAGCAGTACCCCATCTTGATGTCCGACAGCCATTCCGTGACGATGGATATGATCGCAGCGTTGACGCCGATGCAGACGCCTGCGGAAGGGAGGGGGTGAGAATCGAAGATAGCAGAGTCGGAGGGGGGAGTACAGAGGAGGACGCACCGACAAGGGAGACGACGAACCAGCTCTGGCCCGCGTCGTACGCCTTGCGCAGCTGTGTCCAGAGCCAAGGCACGGTCACCTCCCCGCGCGGTCCGCGCCGAGACGCGTTGAGCGTGCGTGCCTTGCGTATCCGGCGGTTGCGTTCGAGTATCGAGTCTTGTATCCAGTCTGTAGGGGTTTCCGTAAGAGCAAAGACGCGCGTGCGTCTTGGGCGACGGACCTATGGTGCGAAAGTCCTCGTAGCGACTGGGCAGTCAGGTGGGGGTGAGCGAATGGCATGAGGCGGGGTGGATGCAGCTGCTAACCGAATTTGCTCGAGCTCTTCATCGTCGAGGGCGCCGTTCTGCAGCTGACTAGGGCGTCGCCTAGGTTCATGGGTCATGCGAGCCGTGGTCCGGTGAATGAAGATAGCGTGTGAATTTGCGCGCTCATGATGGTGATTGCCGGCGGTGCCAGTGCGTGCCGGCCTGGAAGCTTGCAAGGTCTGTTCAAGCAAGTCTCTTGAATAAATTTACCGCATAATATCGACATCGGAGCAGGATTTACACTGATTGAGAAAAATAATCTCTTATGCGGGGAGTAGGCAGATATCTAGCAACTCTGCCTCACACAACAATGTCTGCCATTAAATTCCAACGTCGCCTCTCGGCCAGCAGCTATGAGCAAGCTCTGATCTAAAAGCTCTGAATTCTCCTCCGCCTTGAAATCAAGATTCTGGACGCGCTGTCCCAAACTATCTCGGGCTCTGCAGTGCAGGTACCACATCAGTGCAATATCCCATCGGCAGAGAGTATCTCGAGGCTACTTGGTAGGTTTCCAGGCAGATGCTAACAGCTGCAACCTTATTCCACAATCGGACGACATGTTTTGATTGAATGTATATGTAATGAACCCGTGGCGAAGTGACGCTAAGTCCACCCTCGAGGGGACCTTAGTATCAGTCGTCAACTTGAGAACGCGCCACTACTCTGCAATCAAGCTCCGAGTTCTCGTGTTTCGAGCGTTCGACCTCTCGTCTGATCGATCTGCGAAGTTATCGCGCGCGTCCCGCCGGCTATCGTGGTGTAGTGGAGGACGCAAGAATCAATGAGCACCTCTCGACACGATCACGTGTACCCCTGGAGTCCGTGTAGAGATGTGACTAGTAAGATACAGCTCTCCCGCACTCTGGTCCGCGACGAAACAAACAACACCGGATTCCGGATAAGTAAAGTAGCACGTTGATAAATGGCACTAAAGAGGGTATACGTATACACTTCCACATCCACATCCGACAGCGTTCCGTAATCAAGACGTTTGTAAGCGGAATAGAGTACCGGAGATTCGCAGGGCAGATAAATACGAGGCCCGTGTCCAAGAAAAAGGAGCCCACAATCTAGTACATCGGGCTCTGCTCGCCGCTGAGCCCTTGCGCCGTTAGGCGGCTCTCGAGATTCCGCAGCGACTCCTCTTTGGCAAGCAGCTCCTGTCGCTTTTCGTTGATCTCGCGCTGGATCTTCAGCTCGGTTTCCCGGAGCTACAGGGAGGTGAGTAACCGTATTCGAATGGGCGAGCGCCAGGCGACTGACCTTTTCCTCCTCGCGACGAAGCTGCTCCTCCTTGAGGCGGACGCTTTGGTTCGCCAACTCTTCTGGCAGAAGAGTCGAATCTCTGCATGCCGTTAAGCAGGAGGCACGAACGAAACGAACAGAAGAGACAAACCGGACGGTGGAATGCACGCTTCGCGACAGCTTCTCAGTACGGTAAGTCTCATACAGCACGTCCTCGGTCAGCGACTTGAGGTCTCCCAGGTGAGTGGTCAAGATAGCGTTGCGCAGGCGGCCAAAGTCGGAATGTTGGGGGTTGTCGACCTCGGCGACACCCCACGGGTAGATCCGGGCGCGCACCGGCTCGCCGTTGATGTCGATCTCCTCCTCCGATCCAATGACAGCGAAGGGCAAGAGCGCCTGGGCCAAGCACAGTCAGCTACGCCGCCATATGGAGGTGCACACAGCGCAACGCACCCGGAGCTCCATGTTCTCTTGGATCGTGTCCTCGTCGTCCTCCTCCACGTCGTACGGGAAGTTGTAGATCGGGATATCGTAGTGGTCGATGTCCTCCATCACTCGCTTCTTGAACGCCTTCAGTTCGCTGACAGTGAGCGAATCGGCGCGGCCGATGACCGGGATGACGTTCACGCGCGGGGACAACCGCCGCATCAGCTCGACGTCCATTTCCCGCAGCCTGGTTCGCCGTAACTTTCAGTCGGGGACAGACGTAAAGCGGACGGCCACGCACGCATGCCCGGTTGGGGTGATGAAGTACAGCAGCGCATGAACACGGCTGTCCTTGAACTTAGGGTTTCGCTTGATACGGGACTGTTCAGCGAGGATGTCGTCGTATTGGCGCTCGAGGTAGTTGTTGATCTCTTGGAACCTAGCCGCGTCCCACATCAGCGTCTGCCGCTTCAGCAACGCCCACCAGAAGGCGCACTCACGCAGACTCATTATCGACGTTGTCGCCGAAACCGGGGGTGTCGACGATAGTCAGCGCAACACGCACACCCTCCTCCTCAAGCTCTAGATGGCCCGTCAGCGGAAATACGGGCATATTGAGCGCTGCACCACCACGCACCGACATTCACCGGCTTGATTTTGATGTTCTCCTCAATATGCGTGTTCTCGGGAGTGTCCAAGATCTTGTGGCCCAGAACCTGGAGAGCATGGTCATCAGAAGCGTGACAGGACCGCGGTCTGTACAAGCAGGGAGCGCACCTCGGATTCACACAACGTGTTGACAAAGGTCGTACGTCCAGTACCGGAGGCTCCTACACCCAACAGTTCACAGGCTAGGCATGGGGAAATTCACTGCAAACACATACCAACCACCATGATGGTGAACTGGATTCCCCTGATCTTGTTCCCTCTTCGTCTGGCTGGCATCGGCATCTTGTCAAGCTAACTGGGATGGGGAGCTCTCAAAAGGAGTTGACAGGGAGGCAGCTGCGCGCTTCCGAGTTTGTAAATGGACAGAGGCAAAATTGATCGTTCCACTGAGCTTGTGGGATCAACAAGAACAAGCAACACTTGGTTGCTCAAACAAGAAAGTGGTCTATCACATAACTGTGCTACGGGAGACGTGAAACTGCCAAGTCAGACACAATCAACTATTCGTCGTCGGACATGGGAACCGTCGCCCTCTTGCGAGACTTGCGACCCTTCGTTTCGGTGGTTTGATTTTCGTTTGGCGGCCTCAACGAATCTATGCCGAGTAAGTACATGGAACTAGCAATACTTGACAAGGGAGCGGACTAACCCTGTTTGACGGGCATGAGACCGTAGATGCGATACAGCTCGAACACGGCTTGTTCCTTGTCTTTTGCCTAAGATGGGTGAGCACGAGGGATATGGATAAAAGTTCGGGCGAGTAGGCGCACTTCTATCATGAGATCTAGATTATCGGCTGCAGATTAGCGAGGGAAAGATCGGCACATAGTCTCAAACGGACCCATATCGATTGGCAAGTCGTCCGGTAATGATTCACATCGATCGGCGTGTGCCCTGCGTTCCATAAGAGATTCCGCTCCTGGACGGGGCTCGCTCAGATGTTGCTTGGGCCGGATGCCTCGTCGGGACCAGATAGCTGCGCTCCTTCGAAATATCTCTTCGTGTGAGATGGATGACGGAAACAATGAATCATGGTGGTAATCTATATGGACGGGTATCAGTTCCAGACCGTGTAATCGTTTGCAAACATTGTAACCGAAGACCAACGGGATGTCCAGTTCTTCGCAAAGCGGCAACAGGTCTTCAGCATTGTAGCACATCTGATCGGATCATGTTTGCAAAGGCATGCCAAGTGGTCTCAGACGCACACACACGCACTTCATCATTCTCCAGCACGAGCCGGGCTCTCACTGCAGGAGGGAGCTGCTCCTGGACCACAACCTTGATCCTCTCGAGCGCAGATGCTTTGTCGCCGTAGACGCCGCCCCCGTGGATGATCATCACACTGTCCTGGCCCAGACCCATCCGTTCCATCATCTCGCAGTGGTACGAGAGCTCGCGGATGGACGAGGCGACGACATCCGCCTTCGGGCTGCCCAGCTGGGTGAATTGCCCAGGGTGGGCAGTGAGCCGGTGCCCCAGTCGATTTGCCAGATCGCCCACTCGGGCAAGCAGTGGGGCGCAATACTCGAGGGTGTATCCGTGCACAGGATGCGAGGCAAATGGGAACATTTCCGACGACATGCGCATGAAACGAATATTCTGGTGTACCCGGTGAGTGGAAGTTCCAGAACGGACCGAGAACAGGGTACACCCACATGTTCCTCGTTCCATTCGATGATCTGCAACAGATCCTCGACGTTCTTGCGGCCTAGATCCTTGACCCAGTCAATGCCATTCTTCTTGATACTGTCAAGTCTGGATGGGTATTGGGTTAACCGAAGTTTGCAAGGACATGATCGCTCGCCTGCAGGTTCTCGAGCAGAATACGGCATCCTTGGCCGGCTTCTTATTTCGCAGGATGGTGTTCAGACAAGCATAACCTGGCGAGGCTTGAGGACGCGTTTCACTTTACCAGATTATGTTCCACGTGGAACACAGGGGTACACACACCTAGTCTGCCTTTGAAGGAGGTTTCTTTACGCTCTACATCGGGAATGATGTATACCGGCTCTGGTTTTGGTTCCCGCGTTTTGCGAACTTTCTTGACGACCTCGCGCTCGATAATAGCCCCATCTCCGTCTTCTTCGACAGTGGTGACAGAGGTCTTGCGTTTGCGTTTCGTCCCGACTTTCACGTCAAGGGAGACCAAAGCTGCCGCTGTTGCCGCTGCTGGAGCTGGAGGCGAGTTGACAATGCTGATGTCCACAGCCGGAGCTGCAAGCGCGGCTGATTGAACACGGCGGCTGCGACGCAGAGGAGCTGACATTGTGCGCAAATCGAGGTGGTGCTGGAGATGGCGAAAGGAAACGAACATGCCAGCCTCGAAGACAGGGGAGCGAGTCGCGATCGCGTCCGCGATCGACGCGAATGACGTATTTCCCTGGATCTATCTTTCTTTCATTCAGAATTGTCTGCAGCCAGATTCAGAAATCTGGAGAGGAAGAACAGAGTTCCACGCTGCAATTTGGTGTGTGTGTATTGCAGATGACTTGGAGGCATGAGATTGATCATGAATGCAGGGCCAAGATGAATGAAGTAGCCGTCGGCTTCCGGGCCGTCATCATGATGCCATGATGCGGTATCATTCCAGCATTCATGGCCTCAAGCTTCCAAGTCGCTGCTACAATCTTCCACTGAAGTACGGTTGCTTGCATGCTCGAGTCGCATCACAGTCGTTCAAAACACGACTGCGCAACGGATTCCTGCGAGTGCTTCATGACCCGTTGCTGGTCTATCCGCTGTTCTCTTTCTTTCCCCGGGCTCGACGCCAGTCTTGTCCTGCGGGCCAACCAACACTGGTACGGACCTCAAGCAGCAGTCAAAATGCGTTCTCCAGCAGCATATTCTGTGGCTGATTCACAATCTCCTACGCCTCAATGCTCAACCCGTCATGGACCAGGACAAAGCGTGTTCGCATCTGGTCTCCTCAGCATCTGTTCCTCTGACAATCTATGACCGACAGGTCGGATAGCTTCTGACTGACGACCGAATCTTAGCCTCGCCTCTCGCCTTCCCACTGCGGCGATAGACCGGTGTACGTTGAGCAGCATCAGCGACGACATCGACGGCGGAGACTGATAGAATCGTGTGTCTCGGGGGCTCAAGAATTTGATACAGACGTTTCAGTTGCGCGGTCAAGATCAACTTGAAGCTGGTCAGGAGACGGTGACACGCTCTCTTACGTGAATTGCCGGTGTGTTCTCAAGATAACACACAGGTCCACAGCTCTGGCTCTGATACCGCGTGAGAGCAAGGAAGCCCAACGCTGACCTGTAATTTTGCGGTGACAGCCCTCACATGGGAAGGCGCCCGTCTCTGTCGGGCGCCGCCGCGCAGGCGTGCCGGCGAAAATACAGCAAACGGAGAGTGCTGGACACCGATGCCGCGAAGGCGCTTCATGAAGCGGAGGAGAACTTCCAGTGACGGGTGGAATTTCTATTTTGGGACCCGGCAATTGACGGGTGGAGCAGAACAACCACTCCGCCTCAAAAACTGCCGGTGCTTGGGTCCTGTGAATAGCGCACGAACGTTCCCTGGAGGATAGCCGTCTGGCAGGTCTGCATGAGGAGCCTGTGGCACAACCCTTATCTGAAACCTTATGGAGCTTTTGCAGACGGTGTCCATAGAAACCCTAGTGCGAATGGAGCAAAACACGGCTGGCCTCGGGCTCGATGGATGTGTTGGTCGCAAACCTGGACTGACTGACGCGGGGGAAGTCTACGATGATGGATACGCCATGGTGAATTCGAGGTTTGGACTGTTGTACTTTGAGATCACGTCAGTCGATGCACAGCGCTTGAGTTGAGTGGTTAAGCGACCGCGAGGGTTCTCGAATCTGTTGATTGCCGTTCTCCTAAAGCAAGCAAGATCGACGATCGGTGCGGGTTGTTTCTGCGCAGCTTCCGGCCTGTTCTTTGGTGCCCACGCCAGGCGCATCCAAGATAAGACATTGGTGGGCGAGGACCGTCGACCTTGATATCAGGGAGGACAGCACGGGCATTCCCCACTCTACAGCTTCTATCTGCAGAGAGATCATGGGGCCTTGGATTCATAATTGCTTCGCGATGGAAAGGCAGGCTAAGCAGATAACGAGAGCTTCTGCATGTCTCAACGGAACAGATTTGAAATCATGGCAATCTACCCAAATTGAATATGGGCCTATCCAGGCATGTCGGAATTTGGAGGCTTGCTCCGAAGGCCCATTGCACTAGCGATCCCTTGGCGGCAGCGTGACAGCCACCACGCGAGCGATGATCGCGCACGGGGATGTTACGCGTGACAGGTGTTTCACGACCATGTGAGTAGCGCTGCGAGCGCCTACATCATGTCAGCGCGCGTCACCGTCGCGCTGCAGCCTGTAGGGTCGTGAAGCCAACGTGAGGCCCTCGTTCTCGCCACCTGCAAGCAGTTGATTAGATAAGCAGTGCGGCAGATACTGAATTCGTGTCCGCTTTGATATGGCGCAGCCAATGGATTTACCCTATGTTTCGCTCCGCCGGGATCTCAGAGGGGGCTGCCGCGTGTCGATCTGTGGCGGTGACGCCGTGTTTCTGCCTCCGTTTTTCCGATTCTCCAAGTCTCCAGCGCTGACGCGTAGTACTCAGAATGCGCAGTCGCCGCCTGCCGTGTTTGGCGACGTCATCGCACAGAGCAAAAAGCGGGACCCAGCTGGCGGCAACCCAGACGAATCTGATCAACGACGACCCAGAAAGTGTGCTTCGTCACGCAGCAGTGGGAGGACCCCAAACCGCCCTTGACATCATTTCCCGTTTCGGCCCAGTCGACCGACGGTCAACTTCCTTCGTCGATACTCCAGATCTGCTCAGCAGCAGCCCTGACTCGCCCTGGCCACGCAGCTGCATCCAATGCATATTCGCGCAAGGCCTAGGTGCGCCGTCGAACCCGTGCTTTTCGCGTCGGACAAAATAGGTTGTCAAACCATCTCAAATCGGACCGAGATCAGCCGATCGCTGTCAATGATCGTCTCAACTTCCTCCTTCTCGTGGACCTTCCGCTGACCGCATGTCATCCGCAAGGAACATATTTATTTGTCTATCGAAGTGGCGGGTTATGGGGGCCCCACAAATTGGCCACGTCCATTCGTTGCCTATTTTCTTCTCCTCCGCCTCGCATGTCCACAGCACCAGTACTCGACATCTCGAAGAAGAAGAAAAAGCCCCCCGCGTGCGACGCGTGCAAAGCGCGTCGAGTCCTCTGCCATTCGCAGCCAAATGGCATCCCTTGTCCGCGGTGCGCAGAGAAGGGCATCATGTTAGTACCTGACTCTGGTTCCTCTGTACTTGTTAACGTAACGGACTGCAGATGCAGAACGACCTCGCTCCCAAGGGGACGCCCGAGGAAGAACAGAGTGCCAGGGCTGCTGCTTATGGAGGATGAACTAGCAGAGGCTCCCAAGAAAGCTTCACCCACGTCTGGCTCGCAATCACACAACGGATCTACCAATGGGGACTGGACATCCCCTGAATCAGAGCCTTCGCCACCTGGTCCTTCACCGCCCCTTCACCAGACTATCGCAGCTGCTCCTGTAACAATCGCGCTCACCTGCGATCTGGTCAAGCACTTGTGGGAGTGTGCGTCGGCAGTCCTATCGAGCTCGTCCGGTTGGCTGACCTTGATCCAGGCTTCACCGAGACTGTATGCTCTCGCCATCCCATCTTCCAGCACCTCAAGTTCGCCCACACGCTCTCCTCCGTCTCATGGAACCTCGACTTGCTCCCTCCAGAAGCGCAGACGCTTGCCATCTGCATCTGTGCCGTGGGCTCCACTCTCTCGTTTCACCCATCCATCATCGGCTACGGGAGCACGTCGAGCATGGACTCGGTCTTCAACCAACCGCCCCGATCGCTTACGGACAGAACTGTGTTTTATCTGGGTGCAGACCTGCGCCAGTACGGCAAGTGTCGCGGTCCCATCAGGCGGGCGCTCTTCGAGCGGGCGGTGAATGCCGCCTGTCACTGCAGGATTCAATTGTCCGTGTCAGCCTATAATCTGGCCTCGTGCTTTCTGCTGGACGCTCTGGATGAGTGTGAGCGTTTTCTCTCCGGCCTGGACTCCGGTTTCGATGACACCCGGTTCCAGCGAGGTCAGCGTTCCGGGTCTGGGAATGTTCCTATCTATCCCAATCGAGCCATTGGGCAGGTCCGTTCGAAGCAGTGTCTGATATGGAACACGAGACGTGGTGGGGCTTCATGGTGAGCTGTCTTCGTCGATCACGATGCCTGGCCTCACCTTCTGTCCAGCTTAGGGAAGCTCTCGTCGCGCTGGAGGAAAGACGGCACGTTTCAATGCACGTATTTTTCAGCCCCAATCCACGTTCCGCACTAACGATCCAGCCGCAGGAGTCACATTGACCAGCTTGCTGTGTTAAAAATCGACGTTGAGCCTCCGTCGCTCGAGTCGCTGCTGGATCAAGTCAGAAGCACACACGCTCAGAAGAGGCTGACGTCCTCGGTCTATGCGGTCATGCAGTCCTGTGAGCGGACCTTCTTCTGTCCTGAGCTGTTCCGCCGACTGACCCTGCCCCCAGACATGTACCACACCATTCGTTCATGCCGCTCATTTAACGAGACTATCACCGGCGGTGAGTCCCGTCCTTGGCATCACTAACAGGCTATTGACGATGGCGACGCCACTAAAGACCACGCCCGGCGAAATCCCCTTTCCGACTCCGCAGCCTCTGCAGTGCTCTCCTCCCTTGCGACTGTGAAATCGCTTTTCACCCTGATGTTCGACGACGTTGTGTTTCCCGAGGAACACCGCTGCGGGATTGACTGGACGCCGACGACCATTCGCACCAATCCCGTCACGTGCCGAACCGTGCGATCCTGCGCCATCACGATGTATGTGGGCTACCTGCACATCATCTTGGCACTCTATCGGGAAGTCGAGTACCGGCTGCGGGTCCACATCTCCGGCGACGTCTGGGCGCGAAAACGGCTGGCATTGCTGCGTGAGCAGGTCCGCGAACTGGTCATCGAATCGCTGCCTCTTGTCGAAAAGACGATCCGATTGATCTCCTTCAAGTACGGCTGCGACGTGTTGTTTTCTAGCATCGTGCGACAGATGGCCGATTTCTGTATCTCCGAATGGACGAGCATCCAGGAAGCACCAGGGACGACCTCGTGGTCTGCCATGTTTCGACGGTTCGTGTCCGGGTGGTTACCCGCGGGCTCGACGTGGCTGATTCCCCTCGTATGCACAGACTGGCTGACACGCTCAAACTCCTCGGCTACGCAAACGACGATCCACAGGCGAACGCCGTGATAGACAGCCTCGAGTCGCAGCTTAAAATATTCGCCACGCCCAATGCGCTGCACACCAACAGCATGGAACTGCTGCTCGACTCGCCCGGGTCGGCCGACGCGTCTGTCGTCGACTACAGTCTGCAGATGCTCTGCAATGGCCACGGCGGGTCTTCCGATAGTTGGTCTGATCTCGCCATCGGCGTGGACGTTTACTCTACCGGACGGGGGAGACCCGGACCTTACTAATATCGTGTTTGTATCACCAACTGTGTATTTATTATGAACATCTCTAGAGTACTGTACATATACTTGGCACACCCGACCGCATTTTTTTATGTCTTATCGCATTATTTACGTACATTTTCTGTGTAACAGACAGCGATGCACTAGACCGTTTCAGGTCGCTACTGGAACCTCTCCTCGAATCGCCCAAACACGATCGAGCTCAGTAACGACACCTGTGGCACGGCAAGAATGTTCTATGCGAGAATCAGTGGTGCCATCAGAAAGGAAGAAACCCGGACAGAATCGCCGACGTACGTCAACAAGCTCGTTCGGTAGGCCGTTCAGGGCCAGGTGACTCCATCGCGCAAGCCCTGGGAGCAGTCCCGCAAAACGGATCCTAACTTCTTCCCCCGGAGGAACAGTCTCCCTCGACGGCCGGAACACGGCGTTCTCAACCGAGCTCAGGAGAACCTCCGTCGCGCGATCCAGACAGCAGTCGAACACAAGCGAAAAGTCGGAGGAGGAAACGATCTCCAGCGTCTCCTCGATCAACGCGGTGAAGGGATCCGGATCGCTTGATGTCGGCGGGAGAAAGAAGTTGGAGGTATAGCCCCCTTGGGTCAGAACGTGCTGTGTCGTTTCCGGTGTTTGGGGCAGAAGAGTCGTTCCGAAGCTAGGCCATTCAGATAGATAGATCAGGCGCGGATCGCGTGAGACTCACTCGACTTTACGTTCTGTCCCTTCAAAGGTCACTTCGTGTTCGACGCGTCTTCGCACATCGTGAACAAGCCGGTGCAGATCAGATGGTGATAGCTTCGTTTTCAGGGATACCCTGCCCGTCGATTAGATCAAAGATATCTTGAAGCGACACAGATAACGTACCCGCTGAACACATCTTCCACGCCCCTTCGCACCCTTTCTCCAACATCTTTCCAGCCTACATGCAGTATCCACCATGTCATCGTCAGGTATTTGGCAGCGGCGATCTCTTCCTCCTCTTCAGAGTCCTCGTATGACTCTTCCCACGGGAAGCCAGCAGCAACATCCCCCTCCTCTTCAGCGTCTTCCCTTAGCGAGTCGAGACCTCCAAATCCCAATCCCATGCTGATGAGCATCGTCAAGTCCGGTAAGGTGGCCTGCATCCGGCGCTGCCGCTTCTCGAGCTGCCTCACCGAGCGAACATATCGGCCCCGCGCAAGCAATGTCAGTTGAACGTTGGTGAGCAGAGAGAGCAGGGTGGTCGTATATACTGTTGTTAATGTGCGTGTGACAGCTGCCGGACCTATTCAGAGACACTCCCACTGAGAAAATGCCTGGTACACACTGAGCATTTTCAGTTCGTTCCAGAGCTCTGCCTTGGTCGGGCGGGCCGGCTCGGGGCCGGCAACACTGTCCACAACAGACTGTCGCATTCAGCACCAGAAGATACAGGATCGGTAAAGAACACGCACCCCTTGCATGCTACTGATGTTCGAGCTCGAGTCCGTGTCCGTCGACGTCGTGGTCGTCATCAGCGAGTCGCTCAGGTGCACCGGGGCGATAGATTCGCCGAGAACCATCTCCCGGTGTTCGCCCGGCTGCCCGGTCTCCACCCAGCTCTGCGTCGACGCCGACAGCCCCGCGTCGGAGCGCAGATCTATATTAGACGAGGTCGTGCTCAGATCCGCGCTGCTGGCGACCGAGGCGGACAAGGACGAGCTTTCGCTAGTGGTGGTGGTGGTGGTGGTGCTGGTATGTCGCGATTTTGCATGCGCTTGGAGTTCCAACGTCAGCGAGTCGACGTCCATCTCGCGCAGGATCTGCTCCGCGAGCGATGGTATCAGCATGAGCACGGTGTACGAGATGTCAGATTGTGTCTGGCTGAAGCGGCGTTTGAGGCTGGATGAAGCGCAAACTCCGTTCAGCGCGAGGGATGGGATATACAGGGCATACATATACATACTTGTCTTTAGCTGCGCGCTCTTGTTCCATTTGCTCTTTGACGTCATCTAGCCGGTCCTTGATGTATCCTCGCACCATATACGCGGCACTGGCCACCCCTGCGACCTTGGTGAAGCTGACGCGGCGGCGGATGGCGTCGAACATGGTGACGTGGAGGAGATGGGAGCCAAAGTTGTCACAGAAACGAACGAGGTGAAGGACGAGGGACGAGACGCGGCCGCTGGTCCGGTAAGTATTAATATGGCGTGCGGGTCGCGTGTGAGCACGGTTGCAGTAGACGCGCTTGGTAGAGAGCGGCTCAGTGGGCGGCTAAGGTCGGATTCGAGCGGTTGTTTACAAAGAAAGAAGATGCCTGCCAGGACAGTGCATCGAGTGCAAGAGGAAGTGAGTAGATACTTATATCACGTTCAGACGCTGCCGACCGGATTGGTGTCAACCGGAGGCCTAAGTCGTATATACCCGGCTGTAGTATCACACACAGCGGAGGGTACTATTTGAGTTCAGCCGGCTGAAACGAAGTGGCAGTAAGATCCTACCGACAGGACAAGGCTGTATTTTCGCAGTCGGGCGCAACTGCTGAGTGGCCTTTTCCCACGTCTGATGCCGCACATGACCCCATTGATCGAGTTCGCGGTTACCTTCCACCGCCATTTCGGTCCTTTCTCTCGCGGGATCTTTCAACTGCGTAACTGCCTCCTTGCAGCCAGGTCCGACCGCGACTTCCTGCCTAATCCGTCTCCTGCCCACACTTTCCGCGGTCGCTTTTCACTGCGCCATTCCGTGATCGCCTGCGCTCTACGGGCGGGGCTCCATGCAATCCAGCCGCCCAACCCAGCGTCTTTTCAAGACCTTGCAGCTTATTAGATAGGGGGGAAGGGGGCAGGAGGGTTACATTTTGGGAATGGATGGGTCTCGGAGGCAGTAATATTCGGTATACACCTCAATTTGATTTTTTTTGTCCTGTTATCTCGCTTGTGGTCTGACTTCGTCTCCAACGTCCTCCTGCCTATGGATTCTAACGCCCCTCTCATGACGCACACTGATCTCTGGGAGGCTTATAACCAGGCCAAAGCTAGCCAGCAAGTTGCCGACGCCTGCCTGGCGGAATGTGTCGCTGCTCTGGACGAGTTCAATCTTCGGAGAAAACCTCGAGCGGGTTCTGCGACGGAGAAGAGTTTTTTGGCGGAGCAGGTGGCTAAAACAGTGGCTAAAACGAATGCTGAAGAGGTGTGCAGTGCAGCCAAGCAGGCCGTCGAGCTGTTAGCATCTGCATTCCTCCCCAATTTGCCTGCTCCGCCTCCCCTCCCTTCTGCACCGGGCACGCCCTTAGATTTCTCCAGCGGCGCTGTGCAGTCTCCCGCTCTTGTTCAGCCCACACCGCATAGCTCGGATCGGCAGGAAGACGGGTGGTACGATGCCAATTTCAAGGGCGTCATGGAGAACTTGAACCGCGCCGCTGTGAACGATCCGAAGGGAGATTCCGATGGAGACCAACCCATGCTGGATGGTCCGAGCCCCAGATCCAATGCGGCAAGTCTGTTGGATGAGGAGAACCTTCTGATCGAAAATTACTCTGCCGATGCCACCCAAACTCCAAGCCTCTCGGCTGAAGCAGAGGCTCGTCGCAGAGTAATTGAGGCAGAGATATCTGAGGCCAAAAGTCGGTGGTTATGTATCCGCAGCTGCATTCGAGGCTTATAAATCCTTCCTAGGACTTCTATCTGCACATGCCAAGCTCGATCTAGGCCCCAAGCGTGCAAAGGAGGACTACTGGTACCTCCAGGACGAGTCTGATGATGAGATGGATATCGACGGTGACCAAGACTTGGCCGCGGAGGACGGGGATGATGATGAGCCCGAGAAGCAGACCAACGAGAACCTGACTGCAAAGTTGAAACGGGTCGCTGACAACCAGAAGTTCTTGGATGAACTGCACAGATCGATAGTTACCTTTGTCAAAAAGGCTCAGAGGTTCTTGGACAACTCGCAAATTGAGACAACCGAGCTCGGTGAACAGCTGCAGCAGAAGATCTCGGAAGTGCAAAGCGTGCTGGAAGACATTACAAATGCACAACTTGAGCTAGGTATGCGGCTTTTCTCTCGTAATTTCTTTTGCTGAGTTCATGTGCTTAGCCGCCATCGTGAAGGCCTTGGAGAACAAGCCCAAGCCTAAGAAGGTTCCCAAAGCAGACAGCAACGTGTTGTGGTACTACTCATTCAAGCCCGAGGCGAGATTCTTGACATACTACTTCAAGAAAAGTCCGGCCCATTGGCGACGGAAAACGACCGGTGCGTCAGCAGTTGATTCCGTGTTTACTTGCGTGGCTGACTGCATCAGAATCTGCTCGTTCCGAGATGAAGAGATATCTCGGAAATGAACTCGAGGAGATCCAGCCCCGCTTTCGCAGGCTCATGCGTATGATATGCCTGTTTATCCCTGAGTCCGCGACCACCTCTGAGAGGCTTGCCCTCCACGTGCTAGAGGCGAAGCCAATTCCGAAGAGCGACGACACCACCAAGAAGCCTCGCACCAAGTCAAAAAAAGTAGTCAAGGCCGACACTCCTCCGCAGTGTCACTCCTGCCAGGCGCATCGAGACAAGCGAGGAACGAAGGATGCCAACGCCGTCGATGGGGATGGTTCCTTGCGCACACATCGGATTGTTGGTGTACCTTACCCAGCAGATCCAATGCGGGATGTACACAACAGTGCGTACATGACATGTGGCTGCAGCAAGGAGGATGCGCTCCTAGCATTCTACTGGTGGAAGGTACTGAAGATTGGTTCAACGGGTTTGTCGGTGCCCTTTGAATTCTTGGAGCCGATGGACGATACACTTTCCACACGCACTCGTACGCTCTTCACTCAGTATTTTGCAGACATGTCTCTCCTCCGAGTTGCCGACCTCTATCTAGCAAAAGGCGATGGTTCTGTCGGGTCTAATGCCTACTTCATTCGTTTGCATAAGCTCCAGCTTCAGCGTCTGGCCGACAAGACAAACACCCTACAGCTCGCGGAAAACAATGGTGTCGTTGAGGGATTGAAGGAGATTGTTGTTGCCTCGAGACCCGCTGGTGAGAAGCTGAAATCTGGGGAAGAGGAGTGGGTGATGGTCAGACGCAAGATTGGAGAGGAGCCTGATGAGGAGCGAAGGGTTTCCAAGCGCAAGAAGCCTGTGTCCCGGATCAACTAGATTACTAGTCCAATGCGTATGATCATTACTGTACAGAGTGCTTTTCTGACGCAAAATATAAGTGGTATCTTATGGAAATGAATGTCATTTGGAGACTGGCTAATAGCTACATTGTACTCTTGCTCTGCTACTGCGCTCGAATCCGTTGTCGATTCCAGATTGAAAGGAAAACTTTTGTGTAAAGGATTGCACGGGCTTGAGACATATAGCTCACGGATTTGCGAATGCGTGAAAGTCCGCTATTGCCGCACTCTCCTGCACTAGAGTTGATGTAGGCCAGACGCGGGTCCACATTACAATGAGACTTGAGGAAGGCGGCTTCCGAACACTTGGTATGTCCAGAAGCATGGAAGTCGTCGATGAGGAAGTGAGTGCCGGCAAAGAACTCTGGTTCGCGCAGCATGCAATACGGTCCCAGCGCACATGCAAAGTCATAGATCACACGTTTTGGTGCCTTCTCCCAGCGTGTTAACAATGCGGAGAAGACATCATTCCGCCCTTCACCGCGAGGGATGCAGTGGAACCCATAGCAGACGCTATGAGTGCACCACACACACATGATACCTCCAGTAAGGCGACGCTCCCCGTATTGTGAGTAAAATTTGGAGCACTTGGCTCCTCGTTTACCGCCAACCTCGTTCTTCGAGTCGTATTTGAGCTTTGGATAGACTGGCCGCTCTCGAATCTTAGGCAAGCCGTAACAGCAACCTGTCTGCTAGATATAAAGACGTGGAAATTAATACATAATAATAATTCACGCACCTCGGCCCATGGATGTTCCTGGTATTCTCCAAGCAGACGTGTTGGAAGTCCAGAGTCGGTAGACCCTGGCTGCGTGACTGCTACTCGAAGTTCTTGGAAAACCTCTTGACCACGAATCAAAAGCCAATTGCAAAGCTTCACTGTGTCCGTGGTGAGTGGTCCGAGTGACATCTCGTGTTTGATGAGTTCGTAAATGGTGGGCGTTTCATACAGAAGAGAAATGTTAATCTTGGATGGCACGCGAATGAACCGGTTGAGATTCTCCATTCCGGTGGAGGTAAGCATTTGCAGTGCGGACTCATCGGCAGAAAGCTACACCAAGATTCAGTCAAGGAATGAATGCCAGAGACTTAAGAATCATACCTGAGCAAAGAATCTGACATAAACCTGAGAGGGAATATGATCGCTTGCTATAGCAGTGTCTCCGAACTCAGATTCGAACATCTTGGCAAGAATGATGCTCAGTTTCTTCAAACCATCCACTGCCTGTGATATAGCAGACATCCGCGAGAGATAGTCTGCCTGCTCTTGCTGTGCAGAGCGTTGAGCATGAGACATGGGAGCACTTGTATCCTCAACATTGGCGTCATCCTCCTCCTCGCTACCCTCCTCAGGATCCTCGTCCCCAGGGGTCCCATTCTTTCTTTTTGCTGCCCGTATCTTGGCATCCAGGTTCTTCAAACCCGACAAAGTAAGCGGTCTTCCTGTGATCACTTTGCGGATGGCGTGCCGTGCCTTTCGATCAGGAATGAGCTGCTGGTTCGGCATGTATTTTGTGCGATCTCGTACATCCGACGTCAATTGAGTGACTGTCGGAGGCTCCAAACTAGGAAGCAGGTGTTTGCGATTGAACGCAAGCGTGACACCATCCCAAATGGTGTTCTCTGGCGAGGGGCCACACTTTGGACACATCATATCTCCTTCCAAGTACTGCAGCTTCACATAGAGAAACCACACGGCACGGAAAACCTCCGCACTCGGAAATGGCTCCCCACAATCATCGCCTTCTTGTCGATGCAGCTCATATCGTCGTCCGAGAGTAAGAACCCATGCCGAGAATGGGGTTTCGGAGGAAGTGTAGGCAGACGTATATTCATCAAGTAGCTCGTGCAAAAACAATCGAGTGTTATTGTAGTTGAAGATGCCAAGCTCCCGGCAGTCGGGACCCACAAGACGGTGGTGACAAGAGGGATTTCCGCAGGACTGGACCTGTATGACAGTAGACCACGAGCGATAGAGCCCATAAACTGTGCAGGGGCGTTCGGATATGGGGAGAGACGGGTTAAATGAGTATCTCAAGTCTGAGCAAGCACACGTTGATGATTCTGACAAAACAAGTGTATCCGGCTTAGTAACAAGAGGAGCCGGTCGCTGGTAAAGAACAGGGTCGGTGGGTAACGATGCCCAAATTGGAGGGAGGACGGGCAAGTGCGAGACAGCTTTGATCTCCCGTGCGGACCGACGTTGGCGAGTTACTGGTTTACTGTCAGCGAACAGAATCAAAAGAGCACAGCAGCACACGCACCTTGATAATCAACAAAAGTTTCGACTGCTCCGGTTCCCTCTAGCTCATCAGAGGCAAAGCCATCTGTGTTGGAGCCGAATCGTGTGAGAACAGCCTGACAGGCTTGAATGTGCGCACAGAGAAACGAGTCCTTGGGGCATTTCCACGAGCCAGTAGAGCCTTCATTGCCTTGATATTGGATGATGACTCGGCCAGAAAGTGAACGCGAGTTGGAGGACTGAGCAGAGAAGTGGTTGAGGTAGATACCATCACCGGTCTCGTATCGCGAGAAAAGCACTGCCATATCCGCATCTCGTTCTTAAGTCACATCAGCCATGCATTCTACACCAAGATAAAACTTGCGTACCCTTGAAGAACACATCGACGGGAAAGAGTTCCTCCCCATAATCACAAAGGAATCGTTCATGAACACATCGGTAGTCGGGTTTAGAGGATGGGCAACGGCAGACGATCACCTGGGTGCCACCAATAAGTGAACGTTGAAGGTGATACCAAACCGAGGTCTGGAGAGTCTTAGCACAGAGATAGCGGGCCATTGCATATGATGCGTACCTTCGAACTTTTAGTGGAAATTTCCCACCCATTGACGACAAATAGCTCAGATCCAATCTGGTAGAACGCGCCGCCTTCTTCTTGAATGTGCGCACAGAAAGCCCCGTACCCGTCTTCAGCATCGATCCCAGCTCCTGCAGCTCCTTCTTCGAGGGCAGTTCCAGTCACACCAGCCTCTATATCCGCAAAGTCAACCGTCTCTATCATCGTTTCTGGCGTCCCCATTTCAAAAGGCAATCCAGCCGACTCTTTTGTCCATGCCGGTTCATCGAGGACCTCGAGATTCAGGGCCGGAATGGGCTTAACAGCCCTCGGGAGTCGTTTAGTCTGTTCCCGACGTCGTTTTCGTGTGGGAGTGATCGTTGGAAGCGCATAGGCCACAGTACTTGGGGTGGAAAGACCAATGCGCTGTGTGGGCGACGGAGGGGGAGTTTCGAGCAAGATCTGCGAGTTATAATCGTTGTCCGAGTTCATGATAGGTGCGTGGTTCATCCAGGCCAGCAGTCAACACTGACTGCCAACGCTCACACTCATTTCTTCAGGTCTCTTTCTCCCTCATGGGTCCTGAACGGAACCAGCCCCTGCTCCCCAATGCCCGCTTTTGTGCAATATGCCCATCTTTGGCAACCTGCCACCACCTTCCTTCTAACTTTCCGGCTCTAGGCACAATATTCACATCTGGGGCGCCGCTCCCTGACGTCTACCAACAATACCTCCCTCTCGATTCGCCGTCACGTTCGATTCACTATCAGCTAACTCCTCAGCGTGATAACACTCCTCCGTCACCCACCCCTTCCCAGTCTACTACGGCCTCCTCCACTCCGGTGCCCGAGGAAGTGCCCAAGAAAGTGCGCATCCGAGTCACCAAGGACAACGCAGTGTTTGGCGATGTCGAGGGAGCAATGCGTGGATCTCGTGCCTTCAGTGAGTGGTTGCTTACGGTCCGGAGCAAGAGAACTGAGCTGTTCCAAACAGGTTTCCCTCGCGCCAGGGAACTTCGAGCGCCACAAGAAGAGCAGAAGAAATCTTCTCAACGTTTCTTGCGCGAGATTCAAGACATCATCGATAGGGTACGTTTCCGACTTGTTTTTGCTTGCAGGCTGTCACTCGAAACCTCAGTGTGAACGCCTTTCCCTCGAAACTGGGTGCTGGCTTCAATTAAGTGCCCAACACCTCTTTGCCAGCGGCGGCTTCCTTCACTACACGTCCCCTCGTTTGCGCAAGGAAGCTAAGCCCGAAGTGGAGAAGATCACGACCGACTTGAATCGGCTTTATCTCAAACTCATTGCGGCGCGGCACCAAGACACAAGGGCCATGCAGGAGAAACTTCAACAAGCTGAGCAGAGTCAGAAGCTTGCTGAAAGCTCGCTTGCCACTGTTCAGCAAGCTGAGGCAGAAGCTCGCGATCGCGCTCAATTGGCTGAGTTGCGGCTGGAGGCTCAACGAAAGGAGCTTGACATTCTGCGCAAGCAGATGGAGCGTACTCGAAAATAGATCATTTGTACCCGTAGCTCAGAGAATTACAGTCACTGAATTACATTTTTGAGCCCGTCTCCTTGCGCTCGTAAAGTCCAGCGGTCGATATCACCCACCCAATTCCGGCAGTGAGGCGCAACTGCCATGTCGAAGGAAGGTTCTGGCCGCCAACCCTTGCAGTGAAGCGGCAGTCAAAGACAACCGCTAAAGAAGTCAATTGCACAGCGTACAGCGGTCATGTTTGACTGCGGGAGTGGGCCTCTCATAGGCAGATTAGTCTGACTGCGGAAATGGGTGATGGCAATCGAACATTACTGTGCAGAGCATGGCGGTTATTCTTGACTGCAGGAATGAGAGGTGGAACAGCAGTCAACATACACCGCCAGGTATTGGCGGTCGAGATCAACTGCACGACATTCAGCGGGCTCGGCGGTTCTCGGCAATTGTGAGTCTTGAGCAGTTATAATTCACTGCCGATGGTATCGATGATTCGGCAGGCGGATTTCACTGCGATACACGTCGTAGCCTCGCAGTCAGATCCAGCTGCCTTGGCGCTGACTATCCGGTAGTACAATCTGGTGGTGGTGTGACGGCAGTCGGACGCAGCTGCGAGATGGCGGCGGTGTGACGGCGGTCGGATGCAGCTGCGAGATGGGGGCAGTGGGATGGCAGTCGGACGCAGCTGCGAGATGGCGGCGGTCGGACGGCGGTCGGATGCAGCTGCGAGATGGCAGCGGTGAGATGGCGGTCAGACGTAGCTGCGAGATGGCGGCGGTGAGATGGCGGTCGGATGCAGCTGCGAAATGGTGGTGGTGGGATGGCAGTCGGACGCAGCTGCGAGATGGGGGCAGTGGGATGGCAGTCGGACGCAGCTGCGAGATGGCGGCGGTCGGACGGCGGTCGGATGCAGCTGCGAGATGGCAGCGGTGAGATGGCGGTCAGACGTAGCTGCGAGATGGCGGCGGTGGGATGGCGGTTGGATGTAGCTGCGAGATGGCGGCGGTGAGATGGCGGTCGGATGCAGCTGCGAAATGGTGGTGGTGTGACGGCGGTCGGATGCAGCTGCGAGATGGGGGCAGTGGGATGGCAGTCGGACGTAGCTGCGAGATGACGGCGGTGGGATGGCGGTTGGATGTAGCTGCGAGATGGCGGCGGCGTGACGGCGGTCAGACGCTACTGCGAGATGGCAGCGGTGGGACGGCAGTCGGATGCATCTGCGAACACAAGGCAGGCCTGCGCTAGAGCAGTCTACGTGAAAATTACTCACTGTCCCTATTAATCTTGGTCTGTAGAACTCGTCTTGTTATAATCATCGTCATAGCAATTTTGAGAGCAGTTCTGGTGAGTAGAAGTAGTACATAGAGAAGGAAACAAGTAGTCTAAGACCAGGCGAGCACCGGCAGTGAGACTAGACTGCGAACAGATCCAGCGGGCTGACTCTGATTTCCCTCAATGGCGGTGTGTGATATTACAGCAGGCCATCACCCACTTATCCGCAACCGGAGGTTGCGGCGACATCAACCGCAAACAAACCTGCCTCGACAATCCCACTTCCGTCGATTGAGCTCATAATGGTCAGCACCCCGGCATCTCCCTCTCCCTCTCCGTAGCCTAGAACCGCACAAGTTTCTGATTGCAGTTATTGTAGGGAGGCGGCGCTAGATATCCGTACCCGAAATTCGTTTGGTCACCCGCTGGCGGTTGGTGGGCCCAGCCCGCGAACTGGAAATTCAACACTTTCGTTGCAACTTGTGGGATCGCGTTCGTCGCCGCTGCTATCACCCGAGGTGTCGCTCATAGAGAGGTGCGCTGTGGTCGCTGTTGCATGATTTTGGACCGGGCTGACACTTGGTCCGCCGTTTAGGCTGAGTTGAGAGGCGAAACGCTGGAACGGAGGAAGGTATGCAAATCTTCCACTCTCTCGGCCTGTGCAGACCGACTAAACAACTTTCAATTCACAGCTTTCTGCGCTTGTGGTACGCACTTCGGCTGTCTCTGGCCTTCGGCATGCTCTTCTCATCACCGACGCATCAGCGGGACTATATGCAAGGCCGCACGAAATCATTACAAGAAGCGAGCCCGGTAAAAGGTGCTTAAGTGGGCTGGAGGTAGAGTTGCAGTGCGCCTTGTATGAGTATCAGACCCAATTAGCATTCTTTTTCCGGCCCTCTCCTATCGACAGGACCCGCACCGATATAGAAATGACCAAACCTTGGCTCAGTCGGTTTCTTCCAGCACCAAAGCGCTACGTTCCAATCATTATCTCCTTGGGATGCTACCATGATCGAGCTCCAGGTATTGCATCACATCTCGTTGTAACTCTTCACGTTGCTTTCGGTATCCGCCATGGCAGCTGGCCATGCTCCTGCTGAGCGTTTGTTGATTGATTTCAAACGCGCCAGGAATAGCCTCCGCTAAGCTCACAGCTGTGTCTCCACAATGACCTCTTGACCGCCGCCATGCTGAGAGCCACTGACGTCGTTGATATCTGTCCAAGCTCCCACTCCAGCCAAGTATAAATTCTGGCTGCCCCACGCCAATCCCAAGCACCCAAGAAACCATTACGAAGTACGATCCGAGCTGTTTTCGCTCGACATCGACTAAATCCATGTTCGCAGATTATGCCTTTGCTCCGAAGCCACCGCCCTGATCCCGTCGCACCGGCCGTCAACGACCCCGCCGCAGACCCTCCCCGCCAACGCTCCCTCTTCTCGCGCCGCCGCTCGCTCGACGCACCCGCCCGCAATCCCAACGACGACGTGGCCCCAGCCCGCCGAGGCTTCTTCGGCGGCCGCCAATCCGCTTCTCCGGCGGACGAGCGCGCAGCCGCAGCTGCGAACGCCAACAACGGCAGCACGCGACGCGGCTTCTTCGGCGGCGCACGCGGCGGCTCGCTGGACGGCGAGCCGGACGGCGGGCTCGGGCGCAACGGCAGTGTGCGCAGCGGGAACAGCAGCGTGCGCAGCGGCGGCCTGTTCTCCGGGCGGGGCCAGTTTGACGTGCACAAGGACCCGACGATCGTAGCTGCACGCGAGAAGGTGTCGTTTGCGGAACGCGCGGAGATCGAGGCCGACCGCGCGCTGGAGGCTGCGCGGGGCCGGGTACGGGAGGCGAGAGACCATGTCAAGTTCCTCGAGCGTGAGGCAGCCGAGGAGTACGTCGTTTGCAATTTCTCATTGGCTGTGTTCTGATAATATGCTGCAGGGCAAAACGAGCCAAGGCCAAGCAGGCTGTGACCAACGATGTCAGCCGCAGTGCTGCTGGTCTCGGGCGCCATGGGAATTGAGATATTTATTTGACGACCAGTGATGACTTTTGTTGTATGTATTATCCGTGTACAAAACTGCGATATGAGATCGAAACTTACTCGAAATGAGAAGACAGACATTGATTGATCAGATTTGTACTAAGATACACGAATGATGATGGGTTGTTCCAAGTATCCACTCGAAGGTGTAAGATGATGATAGATACAGAAAAACATATTCACAAAAACACACTCAGCTCATCGCAGCAGGCCCAAAGCTCGTCACAGCGAGCGCACCGATCCACGCCATTTCCAGCACCGCCTTCCCAATCGGCGTCAACTCCGCAACAGGCTCGCCGTCTGGCTCGTCCATCGCCGGCGGGACCGGGATGCACAGCCCCATCTTGACCAGGCCCTCCGGATCGAACTGCACACCCGCGTCGCGCCCGGCGCAGGTGCCGATGACGAGCAGCCCGTGGTCGCGCGACGGGACGGCCGGCATGCTCAGCCACGCGTCGTGCCACGGGCCCATCACAGCCAATCCCTCGTCAGGCACGCGGACATTCGAGCCCTGCAGGTCCTGGTGCGACACGAGCCGCGCCGAAATGTGGAACGACGTAAGCAAGATGTCGCACCCGGGCTTGTTGGACGAGTCGGCCGAGCTGGTCGGGCTGCTGTGCGAGCTACTCGGCCCCTTCTTGCGGCCGGTTTCGACGGGCGGTCGCTCATCCGTTGGGTTGTACGCGACCAGAAGATACTGTCTGAGCTCAGTCGCAATCTCGTGCGGCGCGCGCGATCTGTTGCGTTCGGAAACGGGATCCGTCGGGCCCGGCCAGAGCGGGAGAAGCATGAACAGCGAGTCAGCTGGAACCTGCGCGAAGATGTCCACCGTGCCCCGGTTCGAGTGTTTCTTCGACGCCCCTCTCGAATTCCCAGAGCTCTTCTTGGGTGGCAGCAACCCAACATCCTCGAACGAGTTGCTCAGCACATCGTGCCTCCGCCGGCGTTCTTCCTGCTTGTTCCTGCTCTGCAACGTCATCCAGGGCGGCTGGTAGACCTGCGGAGACGATCCTTGCTGGTGGTGGTGGCTCAGACTCAGGTGGTGCGCAGGGCCGCGCTTCAGCACCCGGGAAAGCACGCCGTTCGACCCTTCGCCGCGAGCATCCTGAGCCATCACAATCATATCAATCGACGTCGCATCCATCGTCGAAAATGCCTCGTTGTGCGTCGTCCGAGAGCGACGTTGCAGGTCCTCCTCGTCCTCTTCCTCATCATGGGACTGTGACCCCCGCCGTCGGCGCCGGGAGTTGCCCCCAACAAAATTGGGTGTGGCTGTCACATTGGGGTCTCGGGTCGTGTCGCCCGACGGACGGGGAGGGTATGTGTGACTACTAGACGCAGACGAAGCGGGTGGGACCGAAGTGTCCCTGGACGACGTTGAGGCCGACGAGGACGCAACCTGGTTTCTGCTGCTCGAGCTCTGCGGCCTCGACGGCCTCGGCTCCTTCCGGTCTTTCCGTTCCTCATCCAACAGGCCATGGGAGCGCAGATTCTTGACGGTGTTCGTGCTCGTATATGCCTCCTGCACGTGCCTCGGTGCAAGAAGCACCATTGCCGTCGCCGGCTTGCTGCGCTCTTCCGCTGCGGTGGCAGTGCGCGACATGGTCGACGACGAGACGCTTCCTCGGGTGTTGAACGAAGTAGCAGCCGAGTGTCGAGACGGCCGATAATGCCGGTGGATGCTGAATGCCACGACTTTCGAGTGTTTGTGGATGTTCGTGTACGCGCCGTCGTGCGGCGGTTTGGGCCCAACAATGAACGGCCCACGGAACGGGTCGATCGTCACTCGCTGCTGTGGTTTTTGGGGCCGCAGTTCGACTGAGAGCAAACTTGTCAGCAAACTATAAGTCATCGGACGAAAAAGACAGAACGCACTCCTTCGGACTTTGAATCCACCAACCAATGAACTGTTCCAGATCTCTTCGGAATTCATACCCATTCCTCTCCATGGCGGCAGCTTAAACCGGTCATCTGCATTCTTGCCCCCACCCACTTTCCCACTCGCGATGCTCCTCACGGGAGCCAGCGCCGGGCCCTTGCTACTCTTCGGAACGCTGCCACCCCGTCCATCCGCCGCATCCTTCCTGAAAGTCCAGTATTTCCTCTGCTTCTCGTAATCAGCCCCGCCCCATCCTCGTACGGCAGCAGCGAACGAGTCCGGGTCGAGCATGATGCTCCCGGAACTCGTGCTCGGCCGGCGCATCATCAGAGCGGACAGCTGACTCGGTCTGCGTCCCGCCGGCGACGACGAATGGACCGCGATATCAGAGGGGTCAAGGCCTGTTATCCCTCGGCCCATCGTGTTCCAGTCGAGGTCGAATCCGAAACTTTCAGGGCCGCCCGTACCAGAAGTGAGACTGAACGCTGCGCTCGCGGCTGAGGACCTCCGTCCCGTCGCTGAAGGGGACGCAGGCGGCACACCGGACGATCCAGACGCAGCGAATGTTAGCGGTGTCGGCGACGGCGTGCTCTTGGCCGCAGCGCGCGCCGAGACAGTGCGCCACTCACCGCCCGTTTCGGGCACGGAAATCGGCTCTGGGGCCACCCGGACGGTGTGCACGCTGTTCTGGTCATCCAAGCTCCGGCTGGGCCGTCTCAGCGTTGCCAAGCTACCCTCTCTCTCCCGGCGGGTCGAGGACCGATCGTCGGGCGAAGTCCCGGGGATGGCCATCGGCAGACTCGGTCTTCGGCCCGTTATGGGGTCGATGTACATTTGCCGCTCCAGCGCATCGAACACGCCTTCGTCGCTGTCCCCACGCACAGACGAGACCTCAATAGCATCGTATTCATCGCTGTACTCTTCCTCCTCCGAATCAAACTCCACATCTCGTTGTGGGTGATGGCTTGCGAGCTCGTCCATCGACGTGTGGGTCGTGCTGCTCGTCGTGCGGCTCCGGCTGGGACTCGAGAACGAAGACGACGACGTCCCAAATGTATGGTGTGACGCGGCATCAGAGCGGGAGGGTGAGTAGTACGCTGCGGCTGTGCGCGGGTCACGATCCCGGTTCGTAACAGTGTTGGCGCTGGCGACACTCTGCCTGGGTGTCTCAAGGTCGGCGTTGCGGCCGTATTCATACTCTTCATCATCATCGTCTGTGATTCCCTCCAGCGGGCCGACGCTGCGCGACGGCGAAAGCGGCGGGGGAACATGCAATGACCCCGATGCTGATGAGGTCGATGACGCCCCGAAGGTGAACGAGTCCAGTGAGTTGATGGTATAGATGAGGTTCGCGTCAGCGGTGTCCGATCTGAAAACGTGTGGTTATCAGCGTCTATTAATTACACGCGTATGCGAAGGGAGCCTTTTTGGCTTGGCGGCCAAAACGTGGCTAGAACTCAAATAGACATCTCTCTGAGGAACAAGGACTCGTGGCCTTTCATGTATCGTGGGTCCAAAACGTGGGTCCCAGGATCAAAGAGAACGGACACTCACGAGGACGGCCCTGTTCTTCTTCTCTGCTCATATGATTCGTCGGCGTTGTCGGCGTGTATCTGAGGTGGAGGTGGAGATCTAGATACCATGGAAAAAAGTTAGCCCGGGTCTGGAGAGCACCAGAAACAAAGAGGACAAGAAGCCCCGGAACAAAGACATGGGATAGATTAGACGCACGGTGACTGTCTCAGTACTCTCATCTGCTCCTCCGGCGAAATGATTCGGCGCGGGGCGTAAACGTTATGGGTCATGGCTGTAGGAGTAGCTGGGGACGCCATAGATGGATGGCTGTTTTCAGCTGGGTCGATAGGTGCGAACGGCAAACGGGAGCTGCCAAGCGAAGTTCGACGGTGGTAGTGGGTGATTAGTGTGGGCGATTTTGCTTTGTCGTGCTTATCGTCGTCGTCGTTACCGTGCGGATTGGCGTTGTTGTTGTTGCTCGACGGAGATGCAGATGCGGGGGAGTTGACGTCGGAACGAGATTGCGATTTCCTGCGGGACGTCCAAAGCATGGATTAGCTCGAGCTTGAATCGGTGGTCGTTCGCGCTGATGACGACAGACAGGACAGCCGGACAGGACAGCAATTAAATCGACCAGGTATGGGCGGCTGATGGCGACGCCGGGCGGGGAGAGACGTGTGCAGGTTGTGCGAACGAAGGCCCGTCAAGGGAAGGAAGAATGCAAGGCAGAGGCCCACGCCGCACGTGGCACTTTTGATGTGCCCCTTGACACCTTTGTTCTCCTTCGGATCAGTTGCTTGGACACCGCGAAACTTAATACTTACTTACCGACGGTGGACACCTTGTGTCAAGCTGGAGGCGGACATCGTCGCCATGCTCCAGGCGCGTATACGCGATATTTTTTAGACAACCTCGCACAGCGCAAGCGTTGACAACGCTTGGGGATTGGCGAGATGCGATTTCGCTCACACCACCTCGCCTCATTGGCAGAACGTGGCTACACGTCCGGGGATAGGACTCAGATATCCGAGCACCCAACGGCGAACAACCGGCGCACACTCCCATCTGTCCACACGGCCTGAGGGTGTCAGCGCGTCAAGTTTCTTGGACGGCGCAAGCCACTTTGTACTCTATTCCAACGCGTCGCCAGCGGCCCCGAGAGCGTCTGCGGCGCTGTGTCCGGGTTCTAGCAGGAGAAGCCGAGGGAGACGCGACGTCACGACGCCTTCGGGGAACTCGACACACCGCGGCCATTCCCGGCTGACTAAGGTCGACGACAAAGGACATGGTCTGTTTCGACCGATAGATCGATCGGATGTGCTGGGGTCCTGGCACTCCGTGACTCGAGGACGTGAATATGCTTACTCGAAGCCTCCGATGACCGTTCCCGACGTCATAAGTGTGCTCCTCGTTGATGGCGGCGCGCTCGAGCCCTCCAACTTGCGCCGCTTTGAAGGGAATATCCTGCCCTTGTGGCTTGTTTATGAGATACGCACTCAGTACGTAGCTCCTGGCAGCGGAGGAGGCGCAAGCGGAGGTACGACCGGGCCAAACTGCTGTCGATGTCGCAAAATTATTTGATTTATGATCAGTTCTGATGGACCGATATGCGAAAAACGGCTGAAAGCAGAGAGTCGGCAGGGTATAATTTGGTGCTTCTGATCCGCGAGGTAGCTTTAAACTCCGCTAAATAACAGAAGCCACTTACGATGAGCCTCCCACCGTACGGGAAATCATGTAATTTTTCTAGGGACATTCTAAGGAGTTATTAAAACAAATTGAACAAGTGCTAGTGGCCTTTAAGCTCGAGGAACAGATCACAACACTTTGTTGCTACATAACACACAGCAAACACGTGGTTGCTGTGCTGACGGCATCCGAATACGGACGTTTCCGATATCGACTGTGATCCGGGAGAACTGTTCCGGTTTCCCCCCTCTTCTTCTCCTTCCTTTTTCGATTTATTCTTTTATTCTTATATTTTCAGGCACCTCCACCAGTCTCGAGCCAATATTACCAGTTAGAACGCGTCCGTGCGCATCCCGAATGAGGGAACGCGTCGTGTCCACTGGAGCACGTGAGGGTACGTCATGGTTATGCAGACCCTGATGACATGACTATGACACCGTAACAATGTGACACTGAGACCCCGACTTTGCATCATGATCATCCTTTCCTAAAACAGACCATGTCCTTTGTCGTCGACCTTAGGCTGACGCTCACCCGGTGCGGGCCATGCGGCCCTCAAGACTTGTCCACGGTCGTTCAAGGGGCAGGCACCACCGTGGTTGTGCACCGTGAAACACTGCGTCCACGGTTGATTTTTTCTTGCTCCTGTATCTCCTCCGCTGCCGTCGCCCATCTTCTTACCTCACTTTCGTCGGTCCCGCGACCACTGCTTGCTCATCGGCCGCCTAGTGGCGCCAACCTCAAGGCTTTGCACGTGGCTCCGACTGGGCAAGAACAGGAACATTGAAGGCCAATCAGTGCTCATGCGCCCCTATCGGCAAATCTCAGTGCTTGAGCCTCCGCCGAACATTGATGTTCTCAGCAGTTCCATAAGATTAACGGTATACACGGTCAGTATTGACCGTGGACTCCATCAGGGCAGACGCGACCCTTGGGGAAGCGTGGGGAAGTTGCGACAGTCGTGTCGTCTGGTATTCCATGCCAATACACTCAAAGTTACACCGTATTTTACATCGATAATAGATGGATGAATTCCATACTTGTATCGTAAATAAGCATTGTCATGATTAGATCACAGGGCGTCTAATGGAAAACAGTCAGCCAGAAGATAGGAATAAGAGAAGGCAAGCATTGCAACGCACAGATAAAGTCCTCGTTGGCCTTATCGGTAAGGTCGTCAAAGGCATTAGTGGCAAACGTTGCCCCATTAGCTTGCTGCGCAGCGGCGGCATCGGACGTCTTTTCACGCGAAGCATCAACCAGGACCCGAGCTTTGCCCATCGCCTCACGGCGCTTGCCGTGTTGACGATTGAGGAAAGAGAGGTAAGCTGCGCAACACCTGTGGAGGTGTCAGCATGACGAAGCGAGAGATCAGAGCGGGTCACGGACAGGAACATGACGGCGAGGGCCGAGAAGCAAATCAAGCTTGATTTGAGACCCTTGTGGTAGTACGGTGCCTGGTTGACGGTGTACAAGAATGGTCCGACAATCTGGGACGAGCGATCAGTGACCATGCCCAAGGCCATACGGGAAGGATGACTCACGTTGCCAGCCGACTGTCCGCAGAACATGATGCCAGTCGTCACAGTCTTCTTCGTATGTCCAGCGGTGTTCTGCGACGACCAAGTGTATATCAACGGCAAGATTCCGGTGTAGAACGACACACTACACTGTCTCAGCTGTGGCCCACGGATGAAAGCCTGAGTCACGTACATGTAGTAAGCAGCGAGCAGCGAGCCTCTGTGTGCAGCATCTCGAGGGAGGACAAGCAATGCTGCAGCTCCAGCAATAGAGGGGAGCGTCAATGCCACTAGAACCGGGAATATCCGCTTCGTTCGAGTGGCAAGATAACCGGAACCCACTGTCGCAAAGATCTGGACAGCGCCGAATGGCATGTTGAATAGAATGGTGTGTAACTGGCTGAATCCAAACGAGTTGACGATCAGAGGCCCAAAGGTGGAAATTCCACCGCTGGGAACACTGCAAAAATGTGAGCGGAATGTGTGGCTTCCTTTTCAGGTTGCTACTCACCAAATAGTGAAGAGCATCAGGAACCAAAACCAGGTTTTGGGATCGAGAAGGCACTCGTGGACTTGCTCCCATTTCCACGTCTTCGTCTCAGTTCCCGTATTGTTGGCACGCAGACGCTCAACGGCGATGAGCTTCTCATCAGGAGTGAGGAATCGTGCGGTCGTCGGCGAGTTGGGCAAAAAGGTGCTGCAGACGGGTCAGATCCTGGAAGAGTGAGTTCACGAAGCAAATACGTACAAGATTATGAGGGAGAAGATCACGGTCAGCAATCCCGCGAACAGAAAGATGATCTGGGAACAGTGAGCGGAGCCTCCGGTGGCAATAGACGAAGCAATGACCTGGTAAGGCTCCAATTTATCGCTCTTGATTTGTCCCAATCCGTAGGTCAACAAAGAGCCCAGCTGGATAGAACATCGGATCGATGAAGAGACGGAGGTGTTTACGACATACCAAGTTCGTGACACCGTTCATGGAGTACCACAGCGAAGTGCGCTGAGTTTGCTCTCGTCGACGCCACCACATGCCAGTGATGGTCACGAATGTCGGTGCGACGGTAGCCTCAAAGATGCCGAGGAAAAACCGAGTCACAATGAGGCCCTTGAAGTCCTTGGCCGCCGTCATGCCACAGAGGACGATACCCCAGCAGAGCACGTTGAAAGCAAGCCATTGGGCAACCGGAAGGCGCACGAGGAAAAACGAGGAGACAGGTTGCCAGACGAATTGGGCTGCAGAGTGAAAACTCGTGAGATGGGGAAAAGATGGGATCGGATAGACGCACCGGCATACAGGATACTCCCAAGAGCACTGAACTGATACCCGACCAGGTGGGTTTTTTGCACCAAATGGAACACCGAGGCATAGGACAAGGTGCTCTTGTCGAGCTGTTGCAAAAAGTAGATTCTGAGAAGAAATGAGCAAGTGGATCGAGCAGCTAGCAGTGGTCGGCATACGCAAGCATGATAGGAAGCAGATGCCAGTCAATCTTGCTCAGAATGCGCGCATTGTCTTCCGACGCGACTATGACAGGAGCATGGGCGTCGGCAAGGATAGCCTGGGCAGCGTCTCCCGGAGTTTGGGTATTGTGGAACCCCTTGGGGTCGTCGGTGCTATCGGATGTGCTCGCTTCGATATGACCAAGCTCCGACTTCTCGAGGTCCTGTGACATGATGTGAGACGTGGAAGAAGTGGGTGAAGTGAGGAAGACACTGCGACACTTTTTTTTCGCGGAGGCGGTGGCTTTATATACCCCACATGTCGCTTAACACTACCATCACAAGACACTTAGGGGTCCTGCAGCCATTTTGGATTGAGTCCCCCCTCGACGCCTTCACGTGAGCGATGGAAGTAGGTCCTCTTACAGGTGAAAAGCCTCTGCAAGCGCTCGTACTGCTTCGAATGTTTCTGCCCTCTGCTCTCGGCCACATGCCGAGCATCAGTAGGGTCAGGAAGGCAGCTGGAGGGAGGCTGAAGGTTACAGTGATAAGATGCAGTGCAGTTCGGAGTTGTTCGGATCACCGGTCCGATATCCTTTGATGGTCGATCCCCGCTTCCCTGTACCATGGGGTTTCGTGGGGGAGGACAATTCTCTGCCGCCCCGGACTCTCCGTGTTCTGCCTGTATTGATCTTGGCACAACACGTTAACGCGAGTCTATATATTTCGGTGTTCGGACCGGGTGAAAGGATGACCCTCGGAAATATTGTCAGACAAAGCGGAACCTTGGCCGTCATTAGGCTACCAGAGACAAGCAAGCCGTGGCCGTGCCCCATTTTGTAGGCTAACCGAGCGGAAATTTCCACCCTAATGTATCAAAGCTTTCCACTGGAATGCAGAACACACAAGCACGGAAATAGAATTGAACAGGAGGTGCTTAAATTCGAGTTCGGAACACGGACCGAACGTGCCGCAGGAACCGAAATCACTTCTGCAACTCACATAAAATGGCTAGAACAAGCCCAACCAAACTGAGATCTTGGAGGAGCCTTCGACATGCCACGCTTTCTAATTCCTACCTCGTTCTCACCTGCGCCGAGTGACGGCCTCGCATTCCATCTACGCAATCCAACGGGTCATGAACTCTCCGTCCAACCCATCTCTGACACCGTTGTGCGTGTGGTGCACCAGCTCCCCACCGACAAGTATCCCCAAAAGATCAACGGTGCGATTCAATGGGAAGTTGCCGCTCCTGCGAGCGTCGAGGTCAGCTGTTCGCATCGGAAGCCATTCGTTGATGGAACACTGATCTTCGCGATGTGCGTTTGCAGATCGGGAACACCTCCGCAACCGTCAAGACGAAGGCATTGAGCGTCAAAGTTGACTTCTCCGAAGGGCCGCGTCTGGAGTGGTTCACCAAGGATGGCACCCCGTTCCACGCGGACAGTAAGACGCGCGCATACACCTACGATGCGATGTCGGGTGCTGTTTTACATTACGTATGCTGTCTACTCCCTTCTGACGCTCACGCTGATCGTCTCGCCAGGTCGAGAAAGAATCACCCATCCCTGTTACCGAGGACCAGTACACCTGCGATGGTCCCTTCGTACACCCCGACGTCAACGAATACGTCTACGGTCTGGGGGAATCGCGCGGACCGATGAACAAGGTCGGCAAGAAGTTCGTCATGGAGGGCCGTGACTCGCTCTCGTACGACTGGGAACACACCGACACACTGTACAAGACAAATCCCTTCTACTCCGTGTACAACAAAAAAAACAAGTTGTGGTATGGCGTGTTCTACAACAACATCAGCGACACAATGTTCGATATGGGTTCGTAATCTTCTCCATTTTTGACGGTTCGATCTTGATCCATAGCAGGCGCTGAGCACGATGTTCTCTGGGGATTCTTTAGATGGTACAAAGCGAACACAGGTCCCCTCGATTACTACATCATCCTTGGTGACGGGACCCTCCCCTCCGTCTTGACTGAATACGCACGCCTTGTCTCGCCTTCGACTCCAGACAAATTCGCTGCGTCTTTAACCCTCCCTCCGCTGTCGCAGCTCGGATATCTGTCGTCCAGCCTTGCCCTTGCCGCCGAACCCCACGCACAGGAGGCGGTGATTCAGTTCCTGAGGGACTGCCGTACGAACGGGTTCCCTGTGGACGGCTTGTATCTCTCATCAGGCTGGTGTCAAGGCGAGATGATTTTTCCGAGTCTTGTGGCCCGATTCTTACTGTCGCTCCAGATGAGGAAACAGGAAACCGCAATTACTTCGTTTGGAACTACAGTCGTTACCCCACTCCAGCTGAGATGGGACGGATAGTGGAGAAAGAGCTCGGAATCCAGCTCATTGCCAACACGAAGCCTTGGTTGCTGAAGGTACATCCACGATACGAGGAAGCGCTTACGAAGGGAGCCTTCATCCGACCCGCCCCCGATGCTCCAGCCGGCGCCAAAGCCGCTATGTCGTATTGCTGGTCCGCAGGCTGGAACGCACACGCCCCTGCGTCGTATTTCGACTACTCATCACGCGCTGGATCGGAATGGTGGGGTACGGCTGTCAAGGAAGAACTCGTCGCGAACGATGTCACTGGAATCTGGATCGATAACAACGAGATGTCGGGGCTGACGGACGACGACGAGCGGTACTCTGGCGAGCTCCCCATGTCTTCGATCAAGACAATTGAGCAGCGGATGGGCTGGAATGGGGGTGAGACGCGTGTCGGGAGTGCGGGTAAGATGATGAATATTATGGGTATGGCTCGGGTGCGTTCCTCGTTGATCTTTAGGTTCTGGTTGTCAGCTGATGATTTATAGACGACCTACGATGCAGTGATCGCTGCTCGGCCTGAGCATCGCCCAGTGATTGTCTCGCGCTCTGGCTTGCCTGGCATTCAAACATATGCGCATGCGACTTGGAGTGGCGATAACTCAACGACATGGAAAGCACTCGAGTTTGGCACGAAGATGACGTTGAGTGTTGGAATGAGCTTTGGGCCTGGGTTGTTCGGTCATGATATCGGCGGTTTCGCTGGTTCGCACCATCCTGGCCCAGAGTTGCTCGTTCGTTGGTGTCAAAATGGTGCATGGCACACTCGGTTCACAGTGGTATGTGCTCGGACTGCAAAAATCGATTCACGAATCTGACTTGCTTAGCACTCTGCGAAAGATGTCTCGACCACAATGTGGATGTACGACGATGTGCCTGGAATCAGCGACCACATCCGTGCAGCCCTCGCATTCCGGTACCGCCTGACGCCGACGTTTTACTCATACTACGTGTCCCACTATCAGCGACACGGCTGGCCCGTTCTGAAACCTCTCTTGTGGCACCATTCGGTTGATCCGAAGACACTAGAGATGGACGACGACTTCTTGTTTGGATCGCATATCCTGGTTGCGTCCGTCACCCGTCAAGGCGCGACGACGCGCAAGGTCTATCTGCCATCTGAGAGCAACGATGGTGAGAAGGGACTAGATTGGTGCGAGCTGGACACGGGGGTCTGGCATCAGGGCAAGGCAGACTTTGTCGAGCTCGACGCCCCGCTGAGTCGCACGCCTGTTCTGGTCCGATCTGGTGGAATCCTCGTCCTCGGTGGAGAATGCAAACGCAACGTTTATGACGGCGTTAACGAGCGGACGGCTCTCGTGTTCCCGGCTCCCGGCAAAGCATCTGCCGGCAGCTTCACGCTGATTGAAGATGATGGTGTTTCAAACGAGCATCTGGACAAGGGCATCTACACGGAGATCCTATTGACTTATTCGGCGACGGCGACCGAAGTCGTGGTCGACTACGAGGTCGTTCATGGCCAGTTCAAGCTGCCGTATGAAGCTGTTTGGATCCAACTGCCTATCGGTGACCAGCGCAAGATCGTCGTGAAGGCAGGCAAAAAAGAGGCCAAGGGCCCTGGTGGCCAGGTTGGTATCTCTATCAATTTCTGAGAAGAGCTAGGTAGTCGAATATATACCTTTGTATTACTTACTATGATTGCGCAAGAGCAGTCTATTGACGGTCCAGCATCAGATGAGATGTTCTCGGATCTCGGTCCGAACCTGGATGAGATGGATTTCCGACTTTGCTACGTAGCTTTTTTTATCTTCTGGAAGATGGACCTGCGAAGAGAGAGAGAATTCCGAATGCACGCATCGCAGTGAGGACTTAATACAGCGAAGGATCTAAGATCAGACCTGCTCGAATCCTCAGGACGTGTCGTCATTGAATAGCCATCGCGTGATAACAGTCCCTTGACATCGTTGGATATTTGAGACGCGGACACGAAGTCAAAGATCAGTATTTCAATACGGGACACTCAACGCCACTCGTGGCACAGTGTGTGAAATGGCGGGCGCGTGACGTGAGAGGCACGCGCCTGGTCGCGTCGTAACTCGTCACTGTGACCGTTGTTCCGAAAAGGTCACCCGCCCTGCCCTTTCCTTCGTGCTCAACGCTACCGCTTTCTTGGTTTTCGCGCTATCATGGACTATGTAACTGGTCAGTTAGATCCGCGGAAGCTTCGGTCTCGTAGCTGACCATCATGCAGCTATCGACGCGGATGTTCCATTTCCGCAAACAAGTTCCGGGACTGTTCGCAGTCTCTCGCATCAAATAAAAGGACGCATTAATATGCGTCGACACTTCAGACTAAGCTTCGACCCCCACGCGCCGGATGACTCTGATGATGAGGAGGAGGAGGAGGAAGAAGAAAACGCGGGGGTCGTGTCAGATGAGGAGGAGTACACGACGTCAGATTCAGACATGTCATCGTCGTCTGCAGCCTCAGAGGCACGGACGCTGGAGGCAGCACATGCTCCTTCACGCGAAATGTCTCCAAACATATGTGCGTAGCTACCCATTCTCGATGATCGCCACCGCTCATCGCGCATTGTCCGACAGACCAGTGGAACAAACCGCGCACGGGCCTGCTCGATCTTCCTCTGGAACTCATCGAGCACATTGCCACATCCATTCGCCAATCGAGGAGCCTGTCTGTCATGGACGCGGGGGCGTATTTCGTCGCCGACAAGTACCACGACTTTGCCGAAGCGCGTTTTTCACTCAGCTCGTTGACGAAGGTCAATAAGTTCCTACGCAGTGCTCTCGAGCGTCTATTGTACCGAAACATCCTCGTGGACTTTTCCAGCTGGAAAGGCCGCAAACACACAGCATGGCCTGCTGGATCGCTCGTGCTTCTTCTGCAGACACTGCACGAGAGGCCAGAGCTGGGCACCTATGTCCACATCGCAGCAGTCGACTTTCAGAACTGTACCGACGGGAAGCGCATAGAGGATGCTTTGCAGCTGTTCCTCCTTCGATGTCCCAACCTCAACCACCTCTTTCTATCTCAATGCCCCGTTGCGTTCTGGACGTGGACCGCGCCTATCTCCAGGCTCACTGGCTTTGCCACCGCCTTCGCGCCCGGAATCCTGATGACCCTGTTCCCCAGCTTATCCTCGCTGCGAGATCTGCATTTACGCGACTGCCATGTCATGGCTTTGCAGGGTCCGCTACCCTCGCATAACATCAAGCGGCTTCGGCTGGACAGCAGCCACGAGGACGCATCCGCACACTTCAATCGCGTGTTGACGATCTGCGCTGACTCCGTGACCGAGCTGCAAGTGCGCTTCATCGGCGGGCTGCAGCTGCGCGCGCCCCGGTTTACCGAGCGCGCATTCATCCGCCCCGGGGGTGACAAGATCCACACGCTGCGCCTGGACAATCTCAGCGTGCTGTCGCATCCCGCGTCCGGCTACGCGCAGCTGCTGCGCGATATGCCGGCCCTGGAACATCTGCATCTGTCCCATCACGGTGTTTTCGCGCGGAATGCATTTCGGGCGCTGCCGGATAGTCTCACGTCGCTGACCGTGAGCGAGTATTACGGCCTGTGGGCCTCGGAGCACTCGAAGAAAGGCTTCGTTGCTGGCTTGGCGCAGAGTGTGTTGACCAGCGGGCTTCCGATCGCCAGGGTCGAGGGAGCAAACGTCAGGAAGAAGGAAGAGATGAAGCCGCTCATCGACGCCTGCAGAGAGCGGGAGATCCTCTTCGAGAAGATCGGGAAAGCGGCCGCCGATGATTTCATTCGTGTGATATGTGAGTGGAGGATCGCGTGGCTCCAGGAGCTCGCTGACCTTTTGCTACAGTCGGACGGCGGATTGTGTGGAATCCGCTTTTCATCGATTCGGAGGCCGATCCAGTAAAAGAAGACCCCGTAAGTGAGTCGGATGACTCGGAAGAGGCTTGAAGTCAATTTGCGACACACTCATCACGCGACACCATTCCTCTCTTCTCATCCATCAAGAATCGTATCGTTCGTTGGTTCGTACAAAACTTATGTACATACAGTGTTGTCAAAAGGGCTACATATCGTTAATTACGCAATGATTAAAATGCATAGTAAGATAAACAAGGTAAACATGATGTTGATCGGACATTAATGGATCCACCACAAATTCAGAGGCGTTGGCGCAAGCGGCCGGAGACGCGCCCAGCCTTTGGGCTTGCTGATCCCAATGCGCCCGGCGTTCGAGCGCACGAGCAGGTCCAGGAACCGTGCAAATGCTTTGCTGTCGGCCGACAGGCCCTGAACGCTCTTGGACGCCGAGACGACGAGATCAGCATCAGATGGCGGGGAGGTGCAGCGGCTTGGTGCGCTGCTGCTGCTGCCGCCAGTCAACTCCCGTCCTATGCCAGAGTTGGTAGAGCTACCGAAAGCATCGGACTCCTCGTCGGAATTATCGGAGTCGCTCTCCCAGACGCTGGTCTGGGGCTCTGGATCTTCGGCACCACCAGCCCGGGGCGGCCAGCAGCCGACGTGATAACTGGCTCCGGTGGGAAAGCGGTACGCTTGCGGCGCTCGATAAAAAGGGGGATTAGAAGCAGCAGCAGTCGCGACAGTCGGGATGATTTCGTCGGAGTCGGAATACAGCTCGGCTCGCCGAGCGCATTGTGCCGTTTTGGAGAGGATCAGGGTGGGTATATCGACGTCGCAGCAGACCGCGATGGTGGTGAGGAAGAAGGGTTCCCACTGGGCAGAAGAATCGTGTATCTGGCGCAGCGACATCATATAAGCAGACGCGCAGAGTAGCACGGATAATCCGACACGTACTTGGAAAGCTTGCATGACGTGTGCAAAAAAGACAAAAAAGCCCGTATACGAGGTGTAGAAGTAGGATCAAAGAGCGAGAAGGTATCGTGAAATGGGGGGTCAGTGTCTGAGAGTGGGCAGGGGGTATGAGGCGGGGGGTCGTAAGCGGCAAGAGACGGAAGAAGGACGACACGACACGGCGTGTGTTATATGCCCGCTCTTGCTTTGTCCTGTGTCTCACATGCCATTATCGACGGATTTCGCACCAAGTCACTTCACGATCGGCTACAGCCCTTTGTTCCCTTTGTCAATGTCGCTATCGTGCCAACTCGTTTTGATGGCATTGTAGATAGCTTTGTGGATGTGGACACACGCGTAGAGATGGACTGGAGCGTTTTACTTTGTTGTGTTTCTGCCTTTTTGTGCTCGATGTCGTGGAGGACACGAAGAGAAGCGATTGATGGAGGGGGCCACGTGCCATGGGTAAACGCCTACGGTCCTAATGGAGTTATTAGCACAGCCACAGATTTTCGGTTCACGGAGCATCGCGTAGAACAATGCAGAAGGCAAAAGTCACACAAGTTCCGGACGTATCGTGCCTGTAGTCCGATAAGTTCCTGGTGGGCGATACGGTGCACATACAGGTCTGAGAATCCACGGGAACACGATCAGTCACATGTATCGTGCTTTGTGACAGAACGCGTTAAATGGGAATACGAGAATGTGAGCGAATGGATGGAACGTGTTTTCAAAAACAACTGAAGAAGTAATGCTAAACTGATGGTGCTTCAAGTTGGTAAGCGACAGAGGTCGATCTGGTTCCACACTGCTTTTAGAACTCTCAAACTCAGAGTAGAATCTAGGGACATGCAGGGTCCAATAGCAATAACCTGTCAAACCAGGATCTTGGACGTGGATAGATAGCATTTATTTGGCACTACGAAGATTGTCCATGCACGCACTCACGATGTCATTGCAAGTCAGTAGATAGATGATAGATTACTATACGAAAGCAAACAGACTGCAGAGCAAAGCAGCGGCTGCAGCCAGTACCACCGACGAAGACGACAGACTTCGTGAGGCGGCGCCAGTCTTGGACCCGCCAGCTGACGCCGAAGGACTGGCAGCAGGAGAGCCAACGTCGGTTCCGGCATTGTTAGGTACCGAACTCGTGGCGGCGGGTGCCGCAGTGGGTGTCGGGGTCGGGGTCGGGGTCGCTGTGACAGGATCCGTGAGCTGAGCTGCCTCCGCGGACGCGCTGACTGCGACGACGGTTACTTCAGCCGCTTGCTCAGCTGCAGCGGTCGGCGCGATGACGATTGTAGCTGCAAGGGGAGATGGGCTGTCAGCAAGACTTGTACGTCATCATACGATGGAGCAACACACATTCGAAGTTGCCACCATTAGCTTGAGCACTGGATACAGCTTCGGCCAACAACGCGGCAGCATTATTTGGGACTTGAGACACAAAACCGATACGGGGTGGGTCTTGAGACGGGTGTGTCAAGTTGCCGTAGTGGAACACGACCAGGTTGCTGAACAAACGTAAACAAAGAACCAGATAGAGCAACGGAAAACGACGCACGACTTGAAGAATGGATCGCCCAGAGACCACCGGAACAAGGCTCCAACACCCGGAGGATCCGTGGCCGTGATTGTGTTAGCGACACAAGTCGTGGCATCACCCGCAGCGTCGGGTGTAACTAGGTCGCGAGGATCAATAGGGAACATCTGAAAGAACATCAACACAATACATAATCGGCGCAGCAGATCCTATCGTCGCACCTTTCCACCGATCTGGAACGTAAGATTGTGGGCGTTGGTGCAAGGGAGCACAGGCGAACTGCTGGCTGCGCTCGGGATGTACGTCGGCGACAGCGTCTGGAGGATGTTGCCCACGACGTCGGTCGGCCCACGCAAGATAGAGTTTCCCTGTCAGACGTGATGTATGAGCGACGGATCACAAGTCAAGATCCTGATCAGCCGAGCGTACAGTATCAATCAGTGCGGACATCCGGGTGCTGTTCACACCACCAGTCGCCGGAAGAGCCGAGGGTGCGAGCTCCTTTCCATCCAAAAATACACCGTCCAGGTCGATTTCCCATCTAAGAATAGATTAGAGCAGAGAAATCCACGGAAACAGCTGAACGGACCGCAAAGGATAGATCTCATTGGGAGCAAACGAGGGTGGGTTGATTCCGCCTTCCGCAGGGCTGTACAAACGAACAGGCGCCCAGGTGATGGTCGAGTTATCGACGCCAGCAGGAAGGGAGCCGAGAGTCAAAGCGCCGACACCAGAAATATCGATCGTCGACCGTTGCAAAGAAATCTGTCAATCAGGTAAGTGCAGAATTAGAAGTGAAACCCAGAAATCATACACTAAACATGGGCATCTCCAACTGTCCGGTCTGAGCGATGCGGGAGATGAGGGGTCCATCAGAATACGACGATGCGACGAAGTGGTCTGTTGCGGTCGTCGTCCCAAACTGGTGGGTGACCACTGCGCCTTGTACTTGCCTTGGGATCGCCGCAGCCGGTCAGCTTCAAGCCTCTGATATGGACCTCAAGATTTCACTCACGATTCTGTTGGGAAACCCAGTCCAAAAATACCCGCTGCTCCGAACTCGACGACTGCGCACGAAAACAAGAAGCCCATCAATCGTCAAAATAAAGTCAGCACAGCACGGGTCCAGCGCACCTGAGTTCGTCGTGTCTGAGATGGCAGCAAAGGCCTGGTTGTCGATAGCCAGACCAGCGATGCTCACGGTGTCCTGCACAATGGGTCCCGTGGCGTACGTCCCGGTCAAGCTATCCCCGTAGTTCATCGTCACATTCGCGCCCGTCATCTTCAGGCCCTTCGTCGGCACGCGAACGGTGTCTGTCGTAGTCTTGGCGCAAGTGTGTGTTGTGCATTGCGAGGAGATGACCCAGAGGTCGCTGGAGCCCGTGTCTGTGATAAAGAGTCAGCGCACTGTCGAACGTAGAGAGAGATCCGAGTAGAGAACTTGCCGAGGTTAACAACAGTGGTGGTGCTCCCGAGCTGGATGGGTACTGTGTATAATCTTGTGTGCATCGCATTGAGCACACATTTACATTAAGCGCTGGGGTGCGCAACGTACAGGTCAGAATTGTCCCCAAGACCGATCGTCCCGGTCAATCCCCGCTTCTCAGCTGTGGTCAGTCTGTCATGAAGTCGCGGGAACCGTCTTGCGGGTGGTGTGGGCAGAGCGAGTGTAGATGTAACGAGGAGTGAGAGCGCAAAGAATAACGAGGACATTAAAGCAAGCGCTCAACGCAAAGGATAAGAGAAAAGTCCGGTTATGTAAAGAGAAATAAGGAAGTGAAAGAGAGAAAGGAATAAGACGCCGAGAACAAGAAACCCGAATCACGGAACAGTTAGAGCAACTCCAGGTTGATGACATAATCCGATGGTGATTGGTCTTATAAGAATAAGTATCCGGCTCGGCGCCGAGTCTGCTGTAGCGGCAGAGGCTGTTCCTGACGGCCACTAATCTTGAACGTTGGAAACGTTCAGTCTTGATGGTTGCGATCTGGCCTCACGTTTCATACGACTGCAGTTCAGTGGAATTTCAGAAGACCCTCTCAACGACTTCTCGCCATGCTCTTCGTCCTTTCGGTCATTCGCGATATGTATACCAAGCACCCGAGCACACCGGGCATTCCGGGCGTGAAGGAATCAACCCAAAGGTGCGGCCGACCAGATTTCAAACAGGCTCATCACATCTGCACACGCTTGAACTTCCATCCGTGAACGCTTGGCTTGTTCGAAACGAGATGCGCACGGATATGTGTGGTATAGTATATACTGACTGTATTGGTAGCATATTCGAGCGCACCGTGCTCCAGATTCTCTAATACATATAAATCGGGTGGCGAACCAACATGGATCATCGTGGTGAGAACAGCTCGCGAGCGAGCCGGCCGCCGCGAAATTGCAGACGCGCCAGCATCTCGTTACCTCCCATCATCGGTGGTACCGCTTCTCCCTCTCATGACATACACACCACCTGCAAGCCCAGCAACCGCGATCCCGAGCATCCCAGCGCCGTAATACGCCGGCTTGAACAATCCCTGCTCGAGCAACCGCATATTCGAGAAATACCGCGCGGTCCCGTACGCAATCGAGCCTCCGCCCGTGCCCAGCAACGCGCCCACAAGCGCGTCATGCCCGACCTCCCAGTCGTCCTCCGCGGGTTTCAGGGGCGTGGAAGGCGTTGAAGACGTAGATTGCTGATGGCTGGGAGCCTGGAGCTGGCGGAGCACGCCCTCGAGATCGAGTTGCGCGAATCGCTCGACGGCGATGCCCAGGGCGACGAACCCCAGACCGGTTCGCAGCCAGGCGAGGAAGGTCCGCTCCGACGCAAGATGATCTCGCGCAACCGAGCCTGTGTTCTTGAGTACGGGAGTGCGCAACCGGGCAAACATGACTGCGGCGTGGAAGAGATTGGAAATCCGCAATGCGCATCATGTGTCTGTCACATGCGATAAGGCCTAGCAGGGCTGGAACAGAGCGTTATGAGCGACGACCGGAGACACACAGAGAAACTCCGTCATTGCTCCTTGATCGGGGAAGGACAGCCGGTGTGTGCCCTCATACCAATCGGCATTGTCCAATTGGCCATCAGAGGGTCTACTAGTCGTAACAATGGGCCAGAACTTCACTCAATCTGGCGAGGACAGGACGACTTGCGTCAAAGCATGGCGGTCATTCCAGCTGGCAGTATCACTCGAGAAGAACACTGAACAGGGCGTTATAGTCGTAAGAGTATGCAAAATATGTAAGGGTGTATAAACGCGAGATCCATCCATAATTATACGGCAAGTGGCCGGCACAATAAAGAAATACTTGACAGTTATGTGCAACACATCACATTCACAAGGGCTGGGGCCGACGTCGCTCGAATGACTCGTCTTCCTCGCTCTTGATCGACTGTGCCCGCACGGGCTCCGTAAGGACAGGCTGGGAAAAGTGTTCCCGTAACCGGTTCGAGGCTTGTTTCTGAACCTGGACAGTCGATGTCAGTGTCAGCCGTAAGCTAAATCAGGCAACTTACCTCGCCACCAATGGTCCTTGTGATCTGGAAAAGAGGTCCGACCAAGCCCAGTTGGACAACGACCCAGCTGGGGAACAAGATCAGGAAGAGTAGGCTAAGAGAATGACGCAACTCACCCAGAGGCGACAGCCAAGAGTAGGAACGTGAAATAGAGTGGGTTGAAGAGAACAGCCATGGCTTCGTTCCAGCCCAGCACAACAAGCACGCCATACATCCAGTACGGGATCTGAGCAATGCTCGCGACAGTGCTCCGTTTTGCCTCCACGTAATAAGCGTCCGCCTCCTTGCGGAACTTTTGTGTCAACTCGAGAGCCTTGGTCTCGGAGAAGACGACTAGGGACGCGGCGAAATCGAATTCCTCATCTGGAGAACCGTCGGAGGGCAAGTTGATCGAATCCTCCGGCAGTGTGTACTCAAGAGATGAATCCTGGGGTTGGATCTTCGAGTACAGTGGAATAAGGTCCAGAGTCTGCTCTCGACGTCAGCAAACGACTAGCCAGCACGACCAACACCGTAACACACCTGGTCCTTGGCCTTTTTGAAAGCACCATCGATATCATCCTCTGGCTTCCAGACCCGCGGAACACCCGTCTCGTCGTATCGGAATCGCTCCTCGAAATGAGCTCGAAGCTTGGTGAGAATGACAGAGTCCGCGGTCTGCTCGTCAATCTTAGAACGCAGGGCTTGCCATGCTCTCCTCCGCAGAACAGCAAGAGAAGTCGTGTTCTCTTCGTCGGTGCAGTTAAAGCCTACGGAAGATCAGTGAAACAGTAAACACAGCGTAGGCGACCAACTAACTGGTTGCTTTAGTCAGATAAGAGGCCTCGACTCTGTCCAAGTTCTTCTTGAACGCCGACAGGATGTCATCCCACATGTTGGGAGCAGCTTTGTTAAGAGCCAAATCAACGGGCTCTGAAATCTGCTTTTTGAAGGTCCTCTGGGAGGCGGTTACTTCTACAATCAGGTATCCAATGGGATTGACTCACTTCAATCTGGTTGACCATCTTCTTGGTCTCGTCCTTGCGGCACTGGTCAGCAACCGTCCGCACTTCCTCCTGCAGCAGGCCCGACTCCTCTTCCCAGCTCCAGTCTGCACCTTCAACGAGTGCCTCCTTCGCACCCGTCTCAAACCGACTAAGGCACCGCTTGCGGGCAGCAGAAACCACATCAGCAAAGTTGTACGTCTCGCCCTTGAGACCGTCTAGCATCTCCTTCTTGAAGGTCACGAGACATGTTTTGTGCAGATTCTTCAACTGGCCGAGGAAGAGAGGAGAAAGCGTGGCATCGAGCGTCGCTACGAGATCAGCACGCTTGCGCTTGTAAACACCTTGATGGTATCGTGAAGCGTCCTTGTCGTAGCGAGCTACAGGCTAATGTTTAGCGCTCATATGTGGAGCGAGCTTGCGACCACACACCTAGAGCTTGTGTTCGCCATGCTCGCATCATCCCTCCCAGACCATCGACGACGCGACCGGCTTCGATAGGTCGCTTTTGAGGTTTAGCTTGCTCGTTGAATTCGGCGAGAGCGCCCGCAGATATTTCGTCGCACCGGAACTGAGCGAGCAGTTCTTGTTGAGTCGGCAAGTCAAGGTCTTTATTCGTCTGGACTTGTTCCTGTTTTGATGGTCAGTCGGTGAATAGACCGATTCAGACGGCAACCTACCCAGATGTTTTCCATGTAAAAGGCCACACCATCGGCGGGAATACGTTTGTGGTAAGCGGGCTTGAACAAAAAGGCTGGGTCATCCTTGTCCACGAACCGCTTGCGAAGGTTGACCACATCGGCTTCAAACTTGTCCGGGACAAGAATTTTGTGGGAGAGTGTCGTGAAGGATAGGTCGAAATAGTCCGACAGGACACGGTCCCTGAGCTCTTCGGGTTTGGACAGAGACTCCCAGATGCGGTTCATGTCCGCCGTCAGCGTAGCCTGCAAGTTCGCAAGCGGCGTTTGTCCAATGTGGTCGCGGATGACGAAGAGCAGTAGCGTCCTCCCATTAGACGTGTTCTTGCCGAACAGTCCGAGGTTGACTTCAAACACTGTCTTCAGGAGACCCATGTTCGCGCCTTGATAGAGACCGACTTGGTGCTCCCAAAGATTGACGATGAGCACCTCTGAGGACGCCAACGAGAACAGTGCGGATTTGCGCTCGAAGTCTTGGTCCTCGCCGCGCTCACGGCCGTCCGTGCCCTCCACATCCATGACCATGACGTTCATCCCCTTTCCGCGACACATCCAGATTCCTACCACGAGTGAGCCAATACGCGAAGCAGGTGTAATGGACACGCACCCTTCGTTGTCTGTTGCCGCCTGGTCTCGTCCATTACATCGAACGTGGTACCAAACAAGCGATTCAGAAGTGTGCCTATGAAGGGGCTTTAAGGACGGAACGTCGGATACGCATGTGCTGGACACGCACTCTTTCCAGTAGACTGCGAGCCAAAAACTGCCACGATGTTGTACCCGAATCCGGCATCATATAAGCCCCATCGCTCAATTTGCTTGTTCAGTTCGGGCTGGGGATGAGTTCAGCAACAGGGCAGAGGCAGGAGAGACGAGTTGGCACGGACGTGAATTGCTTCTCGTCATTAATGATTTGTATGCGCTCTGAGGCGCTCGGAGCATGTCCGTTTACGAGGGCTCCATTGGAGGCGCCCTTCAGGTCCATTGTATTGGGGAGTGAGTTTGACGTCGGCGGGCAGGCGCTGGGGAATGTAGGGGACGTGCACGCAACCGGTGGTTTCCGTTTCGTGTGGTAGTGGGGAGGTGAGCTAGCACGGACAAATACTTTGCACAGCCACTAACTGCTATGAGACGGTAGTTAACGGGCCACGTTGTTGGATATGATTTCGTGCCCCTGGACGTTCGGAGCCCAAGTCAGCTTTCTTCTTCATTCTCTATGTTAGAAGATTCCGGATTTCCACAGGTGTCAATCCTGCACCCAGTGTCATCCGATCCGCTTTTGACAGCAAACGTTCTTAACGTATACTAGCAACTACATAAGTTCCTTGACAATCCACCCCCAGCTACTGAGACAGTCAGGTAGAGCTGCATGTCTCGCGGTGCGTCCATGTCGATCAGGGGATTATAACTGAAGGAGATCCTCTACGTTGTCGATAAACAATCTTATCTTATCAGATTCACATTTGAGACAGTTGATTATACTGCGGGGTCTCTGGCTGCGTTTCTATTTAACGCCGCATATTGCAATTGTTAGTATAAACCCAGTAATGTTTGGTCCGGACCTCGCAATACGTAGTACATAAATTCTGGTCAGCAGACCCGCTAAGAGAGTTCCGTGGAAGTCCTGCCGTGACACGAGCATCGAAGCAGCCGTGGTTGTCACTTTGAAGCGCTCTTCCCACTGCTTTGCCGGTTTCCGGACCACCATGAGCACTTACTTTGAAAACTCTGCGCCTCTGTGGAAGCCCACCAATCCATCATGGACCGCCGTCGAACAGTTCCGGCGGCTCATCAACGACAAACACAAGCTGCAATTGAGTTCGAACCACTTCCTCGCACTGCGTCAGACTTACTCAGACTTACTGACGACGATGGCACAGAGGACTACCACGACTTGCACAAGTACTCCGTTCAGTCTCTGACTTTCTGGTTGGACCTGTGGGAATATCTAGGCATCATTTCGTCGGTCCCTCCGGGTAACAGTAGAGTGTGTCGGGCACGCCGCATCCTGTATATCCTCCGAGCTCATATCTCGCCAGATCACACAACCCGGCCCAACACCCGAAGTCCCTATCTGGTTCCCCGATGCACGCCTCAACTACGCAGAGAACCTTCTCTTCCGCACCGACGACGCCGTCGCGATCACAGCCAAAAGCGAATCGGGCGCACTGTACCACTACACGTACCGGGATCTGCGGGAGCGTGTCCGTCAAACTGCCGGAGCGATGCGCAAAGCAGGGCTCAAAGTGGGCGATCGAGTCGCCGGTGCGTCACGAGCCGGGAATCCAGGATGCCGGGTCTGAAGTCCACCCATTTACTAGGCGTGGTGAACAACACCATCAACGCGGTGGTCATCTGTCTTGCCACGGCCAGCATCGGCGGCATCTTCTCCAGCACCGCTACCGACATGGGCACTGAAGGTATTCTGGACAGATACCGTCAAATCAAGCCCAAGTTCGTCTTCGCGGAGACGGAGATCACTTACGGTGGAAAGGTCATTGACCTGGTGCCTAAGATCACGGAAGTCTTTCGTGATCTCCGTGAGTACGGCTTGGAGGTCGCAGTGACGTTCCCTAGTCTAGTGAGCGGGAAGGAGATCGTCGTCCCTCAGAGGTATGTACATTTCAAAAAACTTCGATTTCGATGGTAATATTTGCAGCATCACCTTTTCCAAATTCCTGAAATCGGATGATGGGAAACCGCTGGTGTTTGAGCAGCTTCCGTTCAGACAACCGTTGTTCATCCTGTATTCGTCTGGAACTTCGGGGCCGCCCAAGTGCATCGTTCATTCAGCTGGAGTGAGAGCTGTGTCCTTTCCGACTCGACGCATCTGACCCAGTCTTCCTTACGAAAGGGTGTATTGCTGCAGCAGAAGAAGGAAAGCAGGTTGAATCTGAGCATCAACACAGGCGACACCCTGTTCCAGTTTACGACTGTGAGCTATCTTCACATCTTCGCCTATCCTTCGCTCACGTCGGCCGTTCTTCCAGACTGGTTGGATGATGTGGACGTACATGTTGATTGGCCTATCCTGTGGAGCGAGGATCATCCTCTATGACGGCTCACCGTTCTATCCGAATATCGAAAGCTACTTGGAATTCATTCACGACCAACGGTATGCACTGCTCCCAGCAGACGAGACCACTCATAATTCCGCTCAGCATCACCGTGCTGGGTACGAGTCCTCGTTTCCTTGCAGAGGTGCAAGGGAAGGGAATCCGTCCTCGTGCGTATCCAAGAACTAGCAACCCGGATGACCTCAGACATTCCCAGTCTCCATCGGGTCTTTCGAATCATTGAGGACGGTCTCTGTGACTGGAGCTGTTTTGACCACGCCAATGTTCCACTGGACTCAAGCTGCTTTCGGAAAGCAGATACATGTCATTTCCACTTCAGGCGGAACCGATGTGTGCACTGCATGTGGGTCATATTTTCCTTGTCGCTTGGACGTCACTCAGTTGCTTCAGTCGTTACTGGGTGCTCCAGCCTTCCCGTTTATGCTGGTGGTGCGTCGCTTGCTTGAACCCCACCATTGCCAGACACTGAATTAGCAACGGCAGAAATGCAATGCAAGTCGCTCGGCATGGACGTGAAGGTTTTCGATCCGGCGGGAAATGACATCGAACAAACAGGAGAGCCGGGCGAGCTGGTGAGCTCTCCTTCAGCCATTGCAGCACGATTCACTTATTGCTCTTTTCGGTATACTAGGTCTGCCTCAATCCCCATCCCTCTCTCCCAGTCCAATTCTGGGGCGACAAAGATGGTAAAAAGTTCCGAGACGCTTATTACAGCACCTATCCAGGAGTCTGGCGGCAAGGAGACTTTATGGTAGTGAATCCCAAGACGAAAGGGCTGATGATTTTGGGTCGAAGGTGTGTGTCTCATGGCTGACTCGGACAACCCGAGATCTGGCATCTCATTGATTCCAGCGACGGTGTTCTCAATCCTTCGGGCGTACGATTCGGCTCCGGGGAGATATACAATGTGCTCGAGCAATTCACGTCTGTGATCGAAGATTCGCTTTGTGTTGGGCAGCGCCGGACGGAGGACGAGGATGAACGCGTTCTGCTGTTCCTCAAAATGCGTTCCGGAAAGACGTTCGACAGCAAGCTGGTGGCGGATATCAAAGCGGCTATCCGGCAAGCATTGAGCCCACGGCATGTGCCCGCATTCGTATTCGAGACAGCAGACATCCCGGTGCGTAGCGGGACCGGGGCTTACCGTGCTCTTTCCTGAATCGCATCTAGTACACCGTCAACGGCAAGCGTATCGAGATTGCTGTGAAGCAGATTGTCTCGGGATATAACCTCAAGCCAAGTGGAACGGTGGCCAATCCAGAATCTCTCCAACTGTATTACCAGTATCGATCCTTGGAACCAGTCACGACGAAGACCCGAAAAGCCAAGTTATGATAGAATGGAATAAACACTCGCCATCAGTCTATGTACGAATCTAGCTCGAAATAGATCAGACTTGGCTCTCGTTCTCGAACGACGTTCCAAGGATTTTTACAATCGCCTGCATGGAATCCTTTTTGTGCAGTCGCTCGTCCGGCCATCCAAAGCTACGGTGGAGATTTCTCGCTCACATTACGTCTCCTGCGATCTTCATCCCATCCGAACATCGCCAAGGAGTTGCTGGGCTCGCCTTCGCGCTTCATCTCATCCGCATCACAGTCTGCTTCGCAAAAATCCGATTGTTACGCAGGGGATCGTTCCCAGGAACGAAGACCTAGCTGAGACTTTGGAAAGCATTCATATGCCAACCGAATTGCTCCTCGGTGCCCATGGCCTGACTTCTTGGCCGAGCGTGAGGAGGTTTGAGATGATGAGAGTCGTGATAGAATTGACCTGATGTGGCGTGACTTGCGAACCGCAATGGACACATGCTGTGACTTGTCGCGTTAATCACATTCTCCGTCACAGCTATGCAGGGCGCATCGGATATGGCGGACGATTCTTAAGGACATCGAGTTTCCTCTAGCGAAGTATCTCCTGCTCTAAATATGCCTACCTGTATTTTGAATGTGCAGCACTCCTGACGGAGACGACAGATATAAACGAACAACTGGTACCAATACGAGCCCAGTTCAATTCCGAAGGAAGTGCATACCCAGACACTGCTCGACTGCAAGCTCGTCCGGATACATCTGGACAGCGGCATGGCGCTGGAAGAGCGGGTAGAAGTCGTTCTCTTCCATCAGTCCCGTATTGGAGAAATAAGTTTGAGTGTACTCCCAGTACTCTGGATACCACCCAGCCATCTCCCAGTCTACAATCGCAACGATACGGTTTCCCTTCACAAGGATGTTTCTCGGCGCTATGTCGCAATGGGCAAAGGACGTCTGGTACGTCCGATTCAGACAGCGATGAAACGCAAGTGCGGCTGCGTCAAAGCCCACATCTGAGGGGGGGTTCTTCATCATCCAGTCCACTCCTACGAAGCGTCTGAATTCACCGACAGAGCTGAACGGTCCGAATCCGTCTCCATCCGATTCAATTCGAAAGTCTCGGCAAGGACCCCCGTCGACTGCCTCGATGTAACCTGGACGGGGAGGTTTCAGCGCGCGAAGCTGACTGAGGTATTCACGCAGTTGTTCCATGATGACCAGCCGGTCTGGCACGCCCATTGCATCCCACACTGACTCGAGTTCACATCCTTCCACGTAGTCCATCACGACGTTGAGGCGATCGAGCTTTTCCGTGTAGTGGCCCCGGTTACGCGTCCCTCTGTCCACAAATATACGATGCACGCGGGGGACAGGGATGGTTGTGTTTGCAGCAATGAACCGTATGGTGAGAGCTTCATTCAGCGCGACTTGCCACGTCCTCTTCACTACGAGCTCCCGGTTCAGTCTTGTGACGGGACCGCTGGTCCAATACTTGCGGCCTCCATACTGCAGTCGGATCTTGAAGAGAAACGATGACAGCCGTCCGAGTCGAGGTATATCTTCCTTCCTCGATATCTCTGAGGCCGACTGGGAGGAATTGAGCGAGTGTGTGCCCAGAAGCATTGTTACTGTGGTATCATGGCAAGCCTACATGTGACATTAACCTTGTGACCGGAGGACTGAAACAATGGTCTACACTGACAGTTCAACGTTGACAAATATTAAAGTCTGTGGAATCTCCTCATTCGTATCGCACAAAGCCCACCAGTTTTGATCAGTTGGTTTTTGTCACCGCTTTCAAGCTCGACTGGTGAAGAGTTTTATACTCACGCGACATTTACGGGGTATACAACAGGCTGACACATTCGTGTGTACAAGACGTTCCATGGGTGAGGACATAGACCAACATTGCATTATACTGTTTCTAAAGTAGCAAAGTCGGATTTGATCGGGATCCCCGAGACATCGCAGGATGGAAGCGGCTTTGCAGGATTGGGCTCTGCATATCTTTGAGCAAACTCTGACCCTTGCTTCCAGATGCTGTCGCCGTTTGCAGGTAAATCTCCTAGGAAGCCGTGTTCGATAAGACTCTATGGAAGCAGAGGTCAGCACTCAGTACTCAGCGACGACACTGATTCGAAATCGCGTTGTAGCACGCCCGGCCTCACATCGATAGCGTCCGAGAGCCAATGTCGGCATCGCCAATCGGGATTTGACTGCACCACTGGAACCGCTTCCAGACAAGCGGAGAAATTGGCCACATCGCTCGACCCGATCTTGCCGAGGAAGAGGGCAGCAACGAGTCGGGTGGTACGCGAGAAAGTGGTACCGTGTGCATACTTCCAGACTGACTGGCCATCCACGGCGGCGGTCCGGTCGAGTTTGTTTGTGACATGGTATCGTTGGGTGTCCGGCTTCGCCTCAGGCCTGCTAGGGTCCGCTGGGTTCTTTGGTACCAATAGGAAAGCAACGGGATAAGTTGCGAGCTCGCCACGGATCTGCTGGCCTCGCGAATAATACGCGATGTACAACCGATTTTTGTTACGATTCGAAAACATGTGAGTGGGAGAGTTTCAGCGACGTACGTGTTTTATCAATGGGACCTCGTCCGTGTTATTTATGAGAGCAGTCGGCACGGGAAAAAGGACGACAATTTATGGAGATCCGAGTGAGATCAGTGCCCACCGTCGGAAGATGTGATTCATGGGGGTACTCGTTTTCCGATAGAGCACGAAACTTCAGCGCCCGCGAGTCAAGATTCTCACACCTTGTCGGAAATTAGTACGACTTCTCCCGAGATCGTGTGTTCCTTTATAGTCTGACTCATTCTCGCGATATGCCGATAAAGACATTCCATAGGAACACCCAAAACGGAGCAGCGAACTCTCATCCTCGAGACCAAAGACACGGATCGCTACTTTGGAGATCGTTCTGTAGATGATTACATAGCACGAGGGAAATAACATTGGCAATATTGCAGTCAGACTGGCTGAGTCTCTCGGACGGACTTCCCAACCGCAGCAGTCTTGTCCCACACACAGAGACGAATGGAAGCTGCGGCGGTTCTGGCACGCGATCATCCAGCATTCAAACTCAGCAACGTCTATGTAGCGGAGTTGTCATTCGATCGATGAGAACTGTTCTTTCACAATGACCAGAGCACACACGATCGGAGAATGGAACACGAGATGTCTTCGCACGCGATCGTCATTGAGCGTCCGCTTCGTTGACTCAAGCACTTCCTATCCAGTTACAGAACCCTGCAGTCTACTGATTACGAGACAGGTCTTTGAACGATACAACACGGAATATCGCGCAGACTCACAATGCACCAGCCTCGCTAGTGGATCGATCCTACGGCTGTTGCGGTATCAGGATCTTGACGCGAAGAACTGGTCTGCGTCCGGCAGATGACTGGACGACTCCGACAAACTCATGATTCTCCTAACTTGCTCCTCGAGTTAACTCATCGACACACAAGCAAGAGAGATCAGAGATATTCTGTGGGATCGGCTCAGCATTGGACTATCAGCTGGGTGTACACCGATGCACACCAAACAAGCAGACAGGAGCCTGTGAAGATCATGCAGCTATTCTCTGAGACTGCGACTCATCAGGTCTCTCATCTCACGCCGCGACAAATCAGGCCCTCAGATCCCGAGTGTTCGGCCCTGAATCATGATTACGTGAAACTTTGGGACAGTGTTCGATTTGTGCGGGGGGACTGGACCTATGCTCGGCGCCGGCTCGCCAGGAAAGGACAAGAGTCTTGATTCGATGTCGGAGTCTACATCCAGTCCCTACGCACACAAAAGACACCAATCAGGGTTTCCAGATCGCACAGAACCGCAGGCGAGAGTACATCATCGCCCAGTTGCCAGCCGCATCCTGGCAGTCCATGCGCAAAGCGTCCACAACCTCGTCGATGATTTCCGCCGCTTGGGCGTCGGAGAACGCGCCGAGAAAGCTCGTGCGCGCGAAGCATTCTAGCCAGCCCTTGACGCCCTCGGGCAGCGGTGTCACCCGAGCTACGAGTGTGATCTGTTGGATCTCGAACGAGGCCGCAGTCAGCATCTGTGGACGCCGCATGAGTTAATCAGCATGATTCACCTAATGAGCGTGAGGGAGTGAGAACGCACCTGGGAGTAATCCTCGACCGACGGGAAGAACCAGGGATCAGCAACGATGGGATCCTGGCCGCGCTTTCTCAGAGCTGCATGTAGCGCACTGCGAATGCCTAGGACGATGCGCACAAGTCAGCGACGACCAGCCTGGGTAACGAACGGAACGGATCCGCACCAATGCAATTCAAGAAGCCGCCCATCTCAGCGACGAATCGCCCTCCGGGTTTCAGCACCTTCTTGACTGATTCGAGTACACCTGACGGGTCACGCTTGCACCAGTGGAGCGCAGCGTTGCTGAAGGCAGCGTCGAACTTCAAGTCGTTGCCAGCCAACTCGTCGAGCTGACTCGATTCGAGCGCCTGGATATCCGCGACAAAGGCGTGTTTGACCCCGATTTTCTTCGCTTGTGCGATCTGCAACGAGCGGTCAGCTCGCTCACGCACCACGCGGTATATACACCATCCACATACCATACTCTCGCTGAAATCGACACCCACGACAAGCCCACCGGGCGCCTGATGCACGACATTCTCGAGCTCAAGGGTGATCTCTCCGCTCCCACACCCGAGGTCGACGATCTTCTCCCAGGCTGTGCAGCGAGCATATCGAGCACAGGGGCAGTGAACGCCTGAGAGTACACGAACGCGGCGGCTTTATTGTATAGTGGAGCGGACCAGCCTTGGGCGTCGTACGCGTCGGAGACGGATTTTTCAGTCATGGGAGAGCTGTTGTTCTGGTGAATGCGGCATTAAGAGCCAGACGCGTCGACTTATATCGTGGTATAATGAGAGCCTTCGGTCGTTTTCGGTTCGGCCGAGACGTGAGATGGTTTTCACGTGATCTTACATCTAAAGTATAAGTAAGGATTGGTGCGTATGTATGACTGACATGACAGATTCAGGCAGTAAAGAGGATATGCTATGAAGACTTGGCATTACACGCACGTACCCGGCAAACATGAAAGCCCACCGAATCAACGTCTATCTACGTTTCCGTTGCTTCGACTTGACCGGCTCCGGAGAATGGTTATGCGCATGTTTGCCAGCCTTCCTCGCCGCTTCAGACTTGCGACTGGGGGCGGGCGCGCTGGGCGGGTCCGAGATATCCGAAATCCGGGAATTCGTCTGTCTCTGAAAAGAGCAGATCAGTGAAATGCAATCACACAGACCGCGCAAAGGCACGCAACCAAACGCCGCGATGGTCGACCTGAGTCTTCGGGCAAGCGACTTCGCTTGCCGAGTGCAGTGACAGGCTTGTCATCGTCGCCATGTTCGTCTTCAATTTCTGAAAGCTCCGAAGTATTGACACCGTCGAATTCAGACTTGCGCGAGGTCGGCTTGAGAATCGGCTTGGCTGGCTTTGCTTTCGTGGCATCCTGGTCAGAAGGTAGCTGTCTACCTTCCAGCACGTTTTCAGCGCAAACAATTCACAAACCCGCACCTTTTCGTAAGGACTGGATGACGACATCCACAAACTTAGATCTACCATCGACTTGGGCGCGTCCCCCCGTCCGCGTTCCTTCAACAATCGTGCCAGCGTTGATTCCAGCGTATCGATCCGCTTCTGTTGTGTCACAATCATGTTCTCGCGCTAGCCAATACATGAGCTTGGTGAGGAACAACAGAAAAAGACCCACTCACACGTCGAAGCTCGTTCTCCTTGTCAACCATATCCTGTTCGTGCACCGATGAGTCATCTGCATCAGCGAGCTCACGAAGCTCTTCTCCGAGTCGCTCTGTCGCGATTCATCAGAGAGATAGGGAAATGCGACCTAGCCAAAGAAACAATACACGCACCAGATCCCCGTCTTGGTAACGCTTGTTGATCATCCTTGCTCGATGCTGCAACTGGGAGTTCTCTGTTTCGATCTGCTCGACACGGGCTCTCAACACCAGCACCTCCCCTTCGACATCTGGATTCCCGCGGGCCGCATCCTCGCGGGCCTTCTTCTGACCTCGTCCAGCTCAGCTCTCCCTGCTTCAATCTGGCGCGTCAGATCTTCAACGAGTCGCTTGGCGTTGACCGCTTCGCGTTCGGCAACCTGTGCACGGGATTCTTGCGCCTGAAGCGACTTTGCGTGCGCCTCCTCCTGCTTGCTGAGTTTGTGCTCAAAGTCGATAGACGCCGTTTGATGGATCGCCAATTCGTCTTGGGTCTGAGCGAGATTCGCTTCGAGTGTAGCCTTGTGGTCTTGGAGCGACACGATCTCGGATTTGAACTTGCCCACAGCTGACTCAAGTTTCGTCTGTGTCGAGGTGTCAGCATCTCGTGCTTGGAGTAATGACCAAATCATCTACCGCCTGAGCGCTTTCCGACAGAATCAGCCGTTCCTGTAAACGTTAGATCAACTCGTCGCTTCGAGAGAACTGCCCAAAAACCTGAGATCGCCGTTCTGTTCTTTCGCGAGCTTCAGGGTGAGGACTTGGGCCTCGAATCGTTCTTGAAGAATCTACGAAATGCATAGAACACGGCCACGGAGACACGGATTCTCGTATCTTACAGTGCATTGCGTCTCGGCCCGTTTGATCCTG